ATTGGCCGTCACATATGCCTATCTCACATGTCTGTGCAGATAGTTCTCGAAGCGAAGGGAATTCACCCATACCACGTGAAAAAAGTGGAAGACTTACTACCTGCGGACTATCCACGTTGAGTCACCTTTTGTCAGGACGTGATAATTAGATGCGACGCAGATGACAACTTTTTTTACAAAATAATGTGGAAATATGAGTTAACCTTTAGCTGGAGTGGAATATTTAATATGCACAATTACCATTCCTGGAGTTTTGAAAACCCACTAGCGATTCGCCGCCACAATTTTCAACACCAGCCGATTAAACGGAGGCGCATACTTGCAATTTAAAAAAAACTTGCCTGAAATTTTAGCTGTACTGTTGAGGAGGAAAGAATGTAAAGGAATATTTTAATAAAAAAATTTTACCGTAGATTTTTTCATCTGGGTATATTAAAAAGAGCTGGTGTATAAAAGCGAATACACCTCGATTGAATATTTATAGCTGAAACTGAACCAGGCAGAAATGAAGATTTTCTTTAAAAAAGCGTGTCAAAAATAATAAATAATATTTTAAAGATTCAAATTCGTGTGTAATCGGACTCACTCCTGTCCTTCGTATAGTAATTTTGTTATTCTAGTTACTAGTGTAGCGTACGCTTATCAAAATAAACTTACTTACGTTTTTTAATAGATATTAAATTAAATAAAAAATGTCAATACGTTTTTTAACAAAGCTCAGTATTGTAAAAAAAATATTCAGGTAATTTTTTCAGTAGTTTTTAATTCAGTAGTTTTTAAGATAGGTTGTAGAAAAAATGATCTGAAAAATATTTGTTTTAGAACCATAGAAAGTTAATACTAACATTAGATTTTTTAAAAAGAAAAGTTACTATATTTTTTTATTTGGATTACTGCCGCCAGACGAGGGGTTATAAATCTAAGCTTTTGTTTGGTTTTTAAGGTACAAAAGGCCCTTTGTTTAACTTGTTTGAAAAAAAAAACGGTCGCACACCTATGATTATAATTGTATGGCTGCAATAGGGAAGTTTAGGCTAAAATCTGATTTTGTACATTTTTTTACTAAAGTCTAAATAACTTTTGTACCACTGAATAACGCATTACATACAGCGGGGTTAAATCGATTGGTCCTCCATCCCCTAAGTGCCGATGATCCCACGGTGTATAGTAGTAAAATGTTATTCATCACACGATTAAACTACAACGACATTTTGTTTCAAGTTCAGGCAGTTTAGGACTTTAGGTAGTACGAAGGCAGTGGCGAAGCTACAGCTTCAAACTAGGGCAAGCCCAAGATATAAATTGATAAAAATATAGATTGTTGTTTTTAGCGGTTTTATAAAAATACACCAATCTTCATCTGCCTCCACGCTTCAGTTTCATATTCAGTGCTGTCAAGCACGTATTTAACAAAGCACACAGAAGGCATACTACTGCTAGATAGATTTTATTGTTATTACATATCAGCAATTGCATCATTGATTTATATGTTACACTAGATAAGTAATTTCCGCGCCAAAGCGTTGTCACTTCACATAAGGCCACAGCCTTATACTCAGCGAACGTCGGTTCAGTGTTCAAGGTGACGCCGTCCGAGTTAAGCCGAACGATTCACAACAAAAAATGGGTAAATGCGTAGTGAAAGAATGCGTTTCAAGGTCACAAAAACATAATAAATCAAGCGGAATCACTTTCCATACGTAAGTTTTAATTTATATATTCATATTAACGTTTAAAACACTAAAAAATTAAATAAAATATCGAATATTGCAATTTAGGTTCAATGTTGCCACTTTTCCGCCTTTGTGATTTTTCCACATTAATGGGAGACTGTATAATTTATGGAATAAGTTAATTTTGTTTTAAAATAAACAAGTAAAATTGATTGCTTAAAAATAAAAACTATGTTTCAACCTTTATACAAAATAATTATTCTTATTTTAGTTTATTCATGAATGGTCTATTAATTATATTTTATTATTTTATATTATATTAATAAATTTGCAGTGTACCTAAAGATGCAGCACGCAATGCAATACAAGTTGATCATTCCCTTTTATTGATTAATGCCATTATTTATAAGTACTTAAAAATAAGATTGTACCACGAAAGTAAATTATACACTCAAACACACAAAAAAGAATCCAAAAGGCAATTATATAACAAACTGATGCTTCATAGCGGAGTTTGAGAGCATGGACTATTATGAATATTTAAGCGGATTAGTATTACAGATTAAAACCATTTATATTATCTTACAAATAGACTTCCGCAGAGTCACGCCTGAATCCATTAACTATCCTCAGTATTGTTGCAAAAAAAAATATAAAAACTTTTTAAAGTTGTTAAGTAGTTTAGAAATTCTATAAACAAGAAAATCAACGAAATTTATTGATAACCAAAGTTTTTGTAGCTAATGTCATGAGACTAAATTTAAGAGACAAAAACTTGGTGATGATTTCACAACTTATGCATATTCAACACAGATCTCGCTTAAGAAACCTAAAATTGTTTTTTTTATTTGCTTTATTTTTTGTTTGATTTATTAGTACAATAAAAATAATATATAAAAACATATTTTATTTCATTACTTATGCTTACTTCTGTTCATCTAATAAGAAAATATACAAATTTAAAATAAAAACAATTTACTGCAACTTTAAAAAAAAAACTCCTTTATATTTGTCATTTTGGGTAAAATTTCATAAAGTATGCAACACCAACCCGCCACTGCATGTTTGTGTGTCTATCTTTATCTAATCTTAGGGACGATATTGTTTTCCGCGACTTGTGTAAATGAGACAGATATATGTTTACTTAAAAATTTTAATGATTTCAAAGCTACGTCGTCGCATTTGGATAGTGGTTACACTTTGTTCGACGCGCGGCAATGTGGTTTGCTCCTCTAGTCTTTTATTACATATCAATGAATTGCATAGCTTCGGTGGCTTTGAAAAAGGCCGTTTGAGTTTGTTTAAGAGAAAGAAAAATATTTAGGTACATCCAATACAATACATGAACAAAAGTAAAACATGAACAAAGTACAAACTATGTACAAAATAAAAAAAAATTATTTACATTCTAATGGTTAAGAGATAAGATAAGATAAGTGGAATCGTCTCGCTTTCTTAAGGAAAGATTTAATTACGTCCACGTAAAATGTTGGTGAACGTTTTAATTTTACCAATAACTGTTTTTAATTGCGATAATTGATAAGTCTGAAATACACTCTTGACCTTGTATATTATCTCAACAAAGTTTAAAGATTTTACCTTTTTCTCGCCGATTAGCACTTTAACACACTTCAATTCATCACAAGGAACACTCTTTCCCTCCATTTTCATTAAAAATCTTTAAAAAAGTATAAATTTTAAACTCGCAATACATTCGCTCACGCTCAACACACAATGAACAAAGTACTTTTTGACACAATGTAAACACTAAACATTGAAATGTGACGTGAACTTGCTAACATATCGTCGGCTCGTCGGCGTCGGCCGCGCGCCTCCTCTCTCGACTAACTTCATACTTAACGTGACCACACGTCCCACTTTAGGCGGGACGTTCCCGATTTAAAGGTTGTGTCGCGCTATCCCCAAAATACGTAAAAATGTCCCGCTTTGTCAAACAAAAGCGTGACAATCATGCAAACCCTGTCACCCGTGCCACCATTATGACACCGCGCGTACCAGGTTTGCATAGCTTGTCTAGTTATGTCTGAAGAGATAAAATTTTGAATTTAAAATTATGAAGTGACAATTTTTAATTAATCTACATTAAATTATGAAATAACATAATATATTTCCAATTAGTATTTATTTGATGTTCAGAATTCACTTTTGATCATTAAAAGACTGAACTTCTAAACTGTGTTTTATTTATAATTATTAAAGGTTGATTTTGGTAGGCGTATAATACTAACATATACAATAAGTGTAATACTACTGCTACTGAGAATTATGTGACGGAAAAACCCAATAAATGATTCTTGACCCGACTCGGGTTTCGAACTTAGGACCACATGATCAGCAATTGCGTTTACTGCCATTAGACCAAGAAGGCAGTCAAAAGTGTTAGAACTATAATAATTTTAAGGCGTCCCGCTCTGAGGAAAAAATTAATGGTCACTAAAAAGCCGTGCTTTTTATCTCCATACTAATTGCTATTTATACAATCGTAGTTATGTTTCATTATAGAACATTTTGCCACAGTTTAGAAAGGGAGCGATCGCCTTCCCGAAAGCCCGGTAAAAAGCCCACGTGTGCGAGGGAGACAACCAATGGCTCAATTCAACTCTCCTTATGACAGCAGTATTCGTAAGGCTACGAAGTCGAACAGAGTGCGCGGGAAATATGAAATAGTTTGAAACAGTTTACGAGTTATTTTATTACTTGATATAATTGATTGATTCATCTTAATGAGGCAAGCCGGGCTTTTGGGCTTGTATAGAGGCTTCGCTACGGTACGAAGGCATTTATTTTTTTGTGGAATATCATGCTTTTCAATGTTAATAGATTACAGTATTTAGTGCTTTATTGGGGTGCTTTAGCTAATTTGATGAGACGATCTGCTATATCAAGCAAAGTGTAGTGAATCATATCCCTACTTAAAAAGCAAATAATGGTGTAAACCATTGTCGATATATTCTCGTTCTCAACGCTCATGTTTCAAAAATCGATATTTAAGAACAATACATCGATGTATCGTTAGCATCCCACATCCCTTATGTCTGTTCTGCGGAAAAATACCCAATTTTTATTGGAAAAGTACAAGAATCAAGAACAAGAACCAGACCCATAAATGATATTCTCAATGATATAAAAAAGTGTACGCATATGTTGCAGTATTCTTAATAACAAGGAATAAACTACTCAATATGTAATGTTATGTTATGTAGAGATAAAGAATTAAATTTATCTTATTTGTCAGTGTTTTGGTGATGATGTTTCATTTCACAATAGTATTCAGCTGATTCTTGTTTACAACATTTTATTAGTATTATGTATTCCTTTGAGGGAGACTTCAGGCGAAAGCCTCAACAAAATTTAGCAGGTGCCAGTGCTCAACGCAAAACTGACAGAGATTCTTTAATATTGCAGTCACAACAACAAAGGCAAAAACGAGAGGTTAGTAATGTTATATGTTCTGGAACAAAGATATATCTTTTGTATTAACGTTACAGAAAGTATTGTTATATTTTCAATTCTAGCAATGCAGATATTGCTAAGTAAGCTAATGTCCTTTTTTCTTTGTGGTACTCTGCCTACATATTTTTGGAGTTGAAATTGGGAAACATAAATGACATTGCAAATTTGATACCCTTCTAGGTAAAGTAAATGTATAATTGATGATATTACATTAATCATAAAACAATTCAATTGAAAATTTTATTCTTTAGAAATCAATAATTAAATCACATAAATAAGTATTGTGTATGTTGTTTATAATATTAAAATGGCAGTTGAGTTAATTTTAATAAAAAGTTACCTAAATAAGTTTCCTCTGTATTTCATGGACACCTGTGCAGTGTGAGTGTAGCCTTAGCTTCAAGAATTGCATAATTTTTGTAAATAAACCACACTTGTATTGCCAAAATACACTCCTAAAGCGATTGTGTGTACAACTCGGTTGAGTTAAGTTTGCACCTCATTGCGATGCGAGGATCCTCTTTTTTGCTCTATACCTTGTGTTCATAATATAGCCACACCATTTACTAATTACTTAATCACGCCAGTACTATTTGCATCTTTGATACTGATATTGCATGTCTTAATTTTTGTCTCTTATTTGTTTAGTTGTTGAATTATTTTTGTTGTTACGTCATCCATACTAATTGCAAAATTAAGTTCTATTGAGATGTATATTGTGTTTAATTTAATTTATGATCAATGAATCAATCATTTATAGATTGTGATCATATTTTCTTAAACTAAGAATGAGAATTCCTTAGATCTATTGCCACTTTGGTGGTACCCATCTCTGCACCCTTCATGATAATGTTATAGCCGTACCTTTACCTCTTCTGGATTGGACGGGGTGTTCTTTATACAGGGTTATTTTGCAATAACTGGCCAAATTTGCGGCCAAGGTGCAGAATAAGTGATATAGGCAAATGGTGAAGAAAAGTTAATAATAAAAAAACTCAAACAATCTGTCCTTTTTATCTTTTGAATTCAAAATGCATGGTAATGCACGTTTTAACTGATTTTACTGTGCACGCACACAAGTGTAAGGAACGAACAGTAGGCAAAAACATTGCTGCCTATAAATCACATTCAATTAAGGATAATTTGAAATAAAGTAAAAGGCTTATTTACTCATATTTTCAAAACTGCAATAATGTTGTATCATTATTTATATATTTGAATTTAAGTTTACAATTTGGCTACTCTTTGAAAAATAACCCTGTATATTGTATTTTCAAAAGTTAAATCCTTTATTTCATATATTAATTACTCTATAAATTTTAGGAACATAGAAGGCGCCTAAACAGTACAATTAAAATCCAAGCCTATGTGCGGAGCTATCTTACACGGAAACATTGCAAACAAAATACAAGGGAGCAATTTGATAACATATTTCCAAGAGCTAATGCTGATAACCAAATTCTTGTGTCCTCACTCGTGGCCAAGATATTGTTCTTTTATGATGATCAGAAAGATTTTAATAGATTGGTGAGATCAGTTTTTTAATATAGTTGGTCCTAGTAATAAAGCTGGTTCTGATAACTCATAACCTTGACTTTCAGTGCTCAAAATATAGAGTTCAGATTTAATGTTCATTTTATTAGTTAAATAACAAATTGTTTCATAATATATTTCTTGATCGAGACATAAAATAAATGGTCATTGATTATTATTAAGAAAAATCTAAACAATGACACGTTAATAGATCCAACTATGTGAACTTGGAGGAGGTTGTTAGTAAATAATAAATTCCAACCAAGTTTTTTAAATCTTAAAAATTATTCAATTTCACAGAAAAAACTCCTAAGTTTTTCAGATAAAATAGAGCCTAAATCACATTTGGCATTCCTATCAATCTGTGAAGTTTCATTACAATCGGTTCAGCCATTCTAAAAATTATGTCTGATATACAGACAAAAAATTATTATTAATGGTTTCTTATTTGTATTCTCATTTTCATGTCTTAATGGCATAAAAATAAACAGACAGAAACTTCAATTTTGAAATTAACATGGTAGAGCCATGCTGCAGTTATATTAGTAGTATAGTTGTAGCACGAATGGGTCGGCTCAACTGGGGAAGGACCACACTCTCACAAAATACCAGCATCAAATAATAGCTTAATGCTGCTCTGTTTCATATGGTGTGTAGAGAACCGGAGACCCTTTTTACTGGAAACGAAGCATTCCAACTTAGTCCTCATGCATGATAATGCATCTGCATTTGGTTCGTAATCGAGGATAGGTGTAGATGTCTATGGGCCACAGCAAGCACTTACCATCAGGTGGACTGTGTGCTCGTTTGTCATCCTATCCTATATTAAAAAAAATATTTATATTATTAATGATAATTATATTAAATACTTTTATGTAAGTAATGATTTTATGTAAATAAGAGCTCACAGTATTTATGTATGTCTAGTCTTCGTTAACAAGCATAATGCTGATTTATTGTTGCCAATCAGAACAAGATGGAATATGTCTTATTACCAGTAAAAATGGTCTCTATTTCTTGTCATTAAGCTTAGTTATTTACGATGTTGTGTTCTATATTAGTCACAGTAATGATACATTACATGTTAGTGAAGTATTACTCACAAAGGAGGGAGTGGTTCTGCTCTACCATTTAATGTGTTTTCCTTCAAATTTTTATGTTAATATATTTTGAATGTAGTTGCGGTTGTGTAGAACAGACAAGTGATTTGTTTTAGGTGTCAATATCACAGCTGTTATTGAAACAGTGGCAAAAAGTGTTCCAAAGTGGTGGTTCATCAATTCAGATAAGAAGATTACTAGCACTACACCTTCGTTTGCTGAAAGATGGTTCTGAGGTAAAAAATGTTTTGTTATTTTATTTCTCACCTATAATCAAATGGTGTTTATTGCATCATTACTGCATTGAGAGCACTGGTCATGCTAAATATAAGCTTGGCTTATAGACGGTTTCGTGGCGCAGTGGCTTACCACTGAGTTATCAGCGCTAGTGGAGCCGCGGGATCCCACATGGAACAAGTATTTGTATAACCTACAAGTAATTGTTCCGGGTCTGGATGTTTGTTCTTGTGAAATTATGTTTGTAAACTTCACGGTACAGGAGAAAATCCGTGAAGGTAATGTTTTTTTTAAATAAATAAAAAAATATGAGTTCTATTGATTTATTACTCACTTGTTAAGGCCACTTAATAAAATGAATAATTTAGTATTAATTACATAGTAAATATATATATATAATCTGTATTTCATGTCAAGCTTTATTTGCTGATAATTTTTTTTATTCAGGTTCCAATGGCAGTCCCATTAAGAATGCTAGAGGTTTTCACTTCTATGCAATCTGCAGTATCTTCTATGAGTTATGAAGAAGCTGTTAATATTATTGGTGGCACATTTTTGTACTTGATTAAAAGAGGTAAGAAGCTGAATTTGCCTTATTGTACTAATTTGTAGTCACTTTTGGAGTAAGACTTATTATTATGATTGAATTCATAGTTAGAGATGAGATGTTAATTATTTTGTATTCTTTAGATGAGAGAATGTCTAAGCTATTTAGTAAGATGTTGATATTTTTTTTATAGGATAAGGGTGACAAACGAGCACACAGTCCACCTGATGGTAAGTGGATGCTGTGGCCCATAGACATCTACATTCGATTAAGAATCAAAATGCAGATGCGTTGTCACCCCTGAGGACTAAGATGGAATGCCTCTTTTCCAGTAAAACGGGTCTCCGGTTCTCTACACTCACCATACGAAACACAGGCAGCATTAAGCTGCTATTTTACGCTGGTTTTCTGTGAGAGCGTGGTCCTTCCCCAGTCGTGCCAACCCATTCATGCTACAACAATAATATGCTGCAGCGTGGCTCTAATACTACAGCTAAACCAGTATTATTTAAATGTGTAGTGTTCGCGTAAATATAAGAGAGCATTAAATAACTCAACCAATTTTGAAAAACCTATAGAAAACTTCATTATCAGCTTTATGTCACCTATCCATCTATTACAGCCCTTAAGTTCATTGTTGAAAATAGACCTCCCCCAAGGAATGCTGCAAAACACTTGCATCCATTGATTTCCTGCATGTCTTACCAGGTCGTCACTCCATCTAATAGGGGGCCGCCCTACACTTCGTTTACTGGTACGAGGTGTATGAGCCTTACTGATCTTTTGTACTATGCTGGTTACCTTGGTTACCAGTCCTTAAAGCTTGTTAAAATATACCTTTGTGTTAGCCATATGGTTCTAAGGGGTACAAAATTACCATGTAAATATGAACATTATATTATGAAGCCAATATTAATAAATTAATCTTAGGTTCTTACTTCTCAAACAAAATTGTTGTAATGTGAAAATAAAATAATACACAATATTTAAAAAATATATAACAGCAATTTAAATATCATGTTTGTTATGTCATGTATCTCTATTAAAACGATTTTTTGTACTTTAATATATATATATATATATATATATATATATATATAATTTTTAAAATAAAAGAGACAAAATAACTGTGTACTTTTTTATCTGACAGTAAACATAATTAAGTCTTAATTTATTTAAAATTGTCTACATATAAATTATAAGTTATAACATATGGAGGGGTTTTTTTTGCAAAAAGCACAGGGTATGTCAACAGCTACCAAGGCATGGCAACTTAGTCATTTGGTGTTTGTCTCATGTCTATTTTCTGCTCTGTCTAATTCTTAATTGAATGTACATTTGAAATTAAAATGGCGTGGAGTGAAATTTTCTGCGAAACCAGTAAAGACAAACACCATAATACACATTTATTGATAATTAACAATAAATTGACTAAATCATATCAAGAAGTCGCTGCGGTGTATGAGAAATATTTCACCGATATTCCTATTTTGACTACAGATTCATTGAATACTTCTCCAACAGTCGTCGAGTCATTACTAAAACAGAATGTTAATATACATTTAAAAATAATGTGTAATGTGTAATAAAAATGACTTTCGATAAGTGTTATGTATTAATCTATATCTATCTATCTATAAAACCTTTAAACGAGTAATTCTTATATATATATATATATATATATATATATATATATATATATATATATATTTATAAGCTTTTTATTTGTCTCAGTTTATACATGTTATTAAAAATTTACAAATAGAAATAATCACAAACTTAACTTAGAAACATACTTAAGTAACATAATTTTGGCATTGACGTAATACAACTAAAGAATAGACTAAAATGTTTATACATATGTGCTATGCAAATTTAATAAGTAGTAGGAAAGGAGACAATCGCCTCTGGGCCTGGACTTCTTCAACGACTCTCAGTGGTATTAGTAAGAATTAAGTCTGTAGTTATATATAATACTTCACACCTGCCTCCAACTTTTGTTGTTGAAGTAACCATACTTTACATTTCTTTCTAAATACATTTGTATTTACGATCTCCTGCAAAGGAGGAGGTATATTGTTCCAAATTTTGGAGGCAGCATATTTGAAACATCCTTTTGCTTTAACACGCTTATAAGTTGGAAGTATATATAATAGTTTACCCCTTCGTCTCAAACGTGTTAGTCGACATTTTGGAGATAATTTTTCATATAAATAATGAGGACATTGCGAATTATTTAACGAGTGTACGAAACAAGCATATTGTTACGAGCTTGAGGTTCGTGACAATAAAAATTGTCGATAGAATTACCTAAATTAACACTTTAATTTTCTTTACACCAATTAAAACTTAAAACACCAATAATTAATCACACTGATTCACTTTATTTCGCTCCGAAGCTTCGCTAGTCTCGCCAAATCCAATACTTCCCCGATCGCACCTTGCAGCGCCTATAAATACACCTTAGCACCGAAAAATCCAGAACATTCAAGTAAATACGCGCGCCAATCGACTAAGCACAGAAAGTTCGAGTGTGGGGCTTCCAGAAAGCTTAGTTCTTCATTTCGATACTAGATGGCGCTGTCGGTTGAAAGATAAGTGATGTCATTTTCTGGAAAGCTCCCCTCGCTCTCGTCTCTGACACTAGATGGCGCTAGTGTCGTCGACTTAGGCGCGTAACAATATTTTAATTTTCTAGTGTAACTCATACTTAAAATATTATTTTTGAGGAGATAAGGAGTTATGTGCTTAGTCCTAGGTATGTCAAAACAATAGCGCATACACGCATTTTGAACCCTTTGTATTCTCCCTATGGTTTTCTGTGAGAGGCAAGGACCATATACCAAGTCGCAATAATGCAAATGTGACAAGACAAGACTATTACAAAGACGGAGGCTGATGTTTGGTTTCAGAAAAGAACGAATTTTGTAAAGAGATTTTAAAGACCCAAAACATTTTCCTATATTTTGTTGTACGTGTTGTACAAACGTTAACCTTTAACCATATTAAGGCCCAAGTTACAAATGCAATTATTTCTAGGAATGGTTGTGTCATTGATCATGACAGTTGGGTCATTTTTTTGATAGATGCAACCTGATGACGTGTACCCATAATTATACATGTACTTTTTTGGGATTCAGAAGCAAGCCATGAGACTTTGACCAATGCTCTATTAATTTTAGATCATTATTTAAGCTGGTAACCGCTGTTGTAATACTGTCGTTTGTTGGTGACATATGGACGTACAATTGAGTGTCATCGGCATAAAGGTGATATTTGGAGTGCTGAACTACGTTTTGTATGTCTGTTGTGAATAAGGCGAAGAGTGTTGGGCCAAGAATGGAACCTTGAATAACGCCTTTAGAAATTGATAGGGGCTCCGAAATATCGATATTACCTTCAGTATTGGTGCATTTTACTTTTTGACTCCGCCCGTAGAAGTATGATTGAAACCACGAATATGCCGTTTCGGAAAAACCAAAGATTTTTAATTTTGTCAGTAAAAGTGGTATATTAACGCAGTCGAAAGCTCGAGAAAAATCAAGTAGCACTAGAATGGTACCTTGTCCATTATCAGCGGCGGTAAGAATATCGTCCGTAACGTGTAATAATGCTGTAGTGGTGCTAAATTTTTGCCGAAAACCCGATTGGAAGACTGGAAGAATGGCATTATTTTTAAGATAGCTAGTGATTTGTGGCTGTACACACTTCTCAACTATTTTTGACAAGGCAGGCAATATACTTATTGGCCTGAAGTCATCAAAGCTGTCTATTTTCTGTTTCTTAGGTATAGGTATGATCAATGAGCACTTCCAAACATCGGCAAATACTCCTTCACAACAATGATTTATTAACGATGGCTTCAATGGCAACTAAAGAGTATGGTAATGTAAGCTTAATCATATTCATCCAAATTTCATCACATCCTTTAGAGTTAGAAGAAAAGGAGTTAATAATCTTCTGTAGCTCTGATGCACTCACTCTATTAAAATTGAACTCCGATAAGTTACTCTTACGAATACTTTAAAAATTTTCGAACTGTTTTTAAGTCAACCTACAACACAGGAATACTATTTATGAAATGTGTCATTAATTTTTGTGGCATCCAAAAGATGTTCAGGAATTGATTTACTAGAACCGTTCTTAATTGTTTTATTAATATGCCGCCACATTAAAGACGTATTATTAATATTATTATTTACAAATTGGGTAAAATATGCCTGTTTCTCAACACGAACAGCACAATTATATATGTTGCGCATGTCCTGGTAAAATTTAATAGCTGATTCGGAATTACATTTTTTAGCTTTTCGGCAAGCTTTATTACGAATATTTCTCATATTCATAAGAGTATTGGTCATCCATGGAGATGGGGGATTTTTAAATTTACGTGTACCTACATACCGGTGCGAAAGTATCTATTAGGTCTAAAATAAGAAAATTGAATAAGTTAACCATATCATTAAGTTCATTATACTCCAGTATGAGTTCCCAAGGAGTGAATGCAGATGCTTTCTTAATATATTCGGCATTATCTGTCAGTGGTCTGTATTGCACGGTACGGGATTTTCTATTAGGGACACTAATAGGAAATGTCGCTATTACTAGTGCATGATCACTTAAGTCATCATTATGTACAACATCTACCGATATGGGCTGCAAATTAACTCTAGTAAATATGACATCAATAAGTGTCGAAGTATGCGGCGTTATACGAGTCGGTAAATTAACAATTTGATGTAGCTTGTAGGAGTTAGTAAGAACTTCGAAATACTTAGGTAGAGTTACATGATTGTTACGATCTATACAGTTTATATTAATATCACCGACAACAAATACATGCTCGTAATTAGGTCCAAATATTGATAAAGATTCGTCAAGAGCATCGATTGCGATATCTTGACTTACAAGCTCAGGTCGATAAGCAATTCCAATTAATAAACTATTTCGCTTAATTTTAATATCAATCCATAATTGTTCAAGTATGGAATCGGGATGATTAAGTTGTTTTACACGTAAATTCGACCTCAGAATACACCCACACCGCCACCACGGCCACAACGAGGCTAATGTATGAGATTATAGCCAGGAATAGCATAAGCACCAATATCAGAGTCAGTTTTTAGCCATGTCTCTGTTAGACAAACGACATCAAAGTTAGCCAACCGAAATGAGGCTTCAAGTTCATCCCAACCCGTATTAAGCGAATGAACATTTAACAACCCCGTGATAAACTGTCTACTTTTGTTTTGTGAATTGAATTCTGTCATCTTTATGCACGCGACATTGATAGTAAAAGATAGAACTATAGTCTACACAGAATTAGGACTTAATTTTTTTAAACTATCCACGTTAACAATATGAATACACTCAGATTTTTCTGTTTTCCGCACAAAATGTTTTCCATTTCTGACCCAGACAAACCTGAAGCCCAGTTTTGCACGAGCCCTTGCTGCAGCATGCAGTTCTTTGTTATTAGCCGTCAGATGTTCTGCTATATAAATCGTTTTCGGTGGGTCAGATGCAACTCCTAGTAGGCTGGTGTTGAGCTTACTCTTACTTTCTTTGTTATTAGCCGTCAGATGTTCTGCTATATAAATCGTTTTCGGTGGGTCAGATGCAACTCCTAGTAGGCTGGTGTTGAGCCTACTCTTACTTTCTTTGTTATTAGCCGTCAGATGTTCTGCTATATAAATCGTTTTCGGTGGGTCAGATGCAACTCCTAGTAGGCTGGTGTTGAGCCTACTCTTACTTTCTTTGTTATTAGCCGTCAGATGTTCTGCTATATAAATCGTTTTCGGTGGGTCAGATGCAACTCCTAGTAGGCTGGTGTTGAGCCTACTCTTACTTTCTTTGTTATTAGCCGTCAGATGTTCTGCTATATAAATCGTTTTCGGTGGGTCAGATGCAACTCCTAGTAGGCTGGTGTTGAGCCTACTCTTACTTTCTTTGTTATTAGCCGTCAGATGTTCTGCTATATAAATCGTTTTCGGTGGGTCAGATGCAACTCCTAGTAGGCTGGTGTTGAGCCTACTCTTACTTTCTTTGTTATTAGCCGTCAGATGTTCTGCTATATAAATCGTTTTCGGTGGGTCAGATGCTACTCCTAGTAGGCTGGTGTTGAGCCTACTTTACTTTCTTTGTTATTAGTCGTCAGATGTTCTGCTATATAAATCGTTTTCGGTGGGTCAGATGCAACTCCTAGTAGGCTGGTGTTGAGCCTACTCTTACTTTCTTTGTTATTAGTCGTCAGATGTTCTGCTATATAAATCGTTTTCGGTGGGTCAGATGCAACTCCTAGTAGGCTGGTGTTGAGCCTACTCTTACTTTCTTTGTTATTAGCCGTCAGATGTTCTGCTATATAAATCGTTTTCGGTGGGTCAGATGCAACTCCTAGTAGGCTGGTGTTGAGCCTACTCTTACTTTCTTTGTTATTAGCCGTCAGATGTTCTGCTATATAAATCGTTTTCGGTGGGTCAGATGCAACTCCTAGTAGGCTGGTGTTGAGCCTACTCTTACTTTCTTTGTTATTAGCCGTCAGATGTTCTGCTATATAAATCGTTTTCGGTGGGTCAGATGCAACTCCTAGTAGGCTGGTGTTGAGCCTACTCTTACTTTCTTTGTTATTAGCCGTCAGATGTTCTGCTATATAAATCGTTTTCGGTGGGTCAGATGCAACTCCTAGTAGGCTGGTGTTGAGCCTACTCTTACTTTCTTTGTTATTGCCGGTTTTGCATATAAATGTAGCGCCTCCTGGTGTGAGCTCTCATTTCTTTGTTATAGCCGTGATGTTCTGCTACATAAATCGTTTTCGGTGGGTCAGATGCAACTCCTAGTAGGCTGGTGTTGAGCTTACTCTTACTTTCTTTGTTATATTTACTTGCACTGGCAATAAAGGAATCACGTATACGCTGGTTATTAAATCTTACAAGAACTGATCTTGGCCTGGTGCTTTGAGGATTTTGTTTCGAAATTCTTATACAGTGCGAGATATCGGTTTCATTAATATTACAATTAATAACTTTTCCTATCTGAACAACGGAATTTAATATGTTTTCCTCCTTATTTTCTGGTAGAAATTGTATTTCGATGTTAAACGATATATATATATATATATATATATATATATATATATATACATACAACGATTTTCATAATGTTTAGTGTGCATAGGGTTTCGGGGGCAATAAATTGATCTAGCTAGGATTTGTTTTTAAAAAATGTCATTTTATCCGTGTTTTCAGACAATGAGAAACTGCTACAATATCTTTAGAATAAGAAGGTAAATTTTAGCATCGCGTTAATGATTATAATAGCTCAAATGGAATGACGGGCGATAATCGTTGTACCTTGCTTCGAGACCTGCCTTCGGTCCAGCTTTTTCTTTTTTTTTTTGTAAAAATCTATTATTTCGAGGCCTTTTTTTAGTATTTTTTAAAAACAGGAAAATTTAAATTAAACTAATTGCACTCATGATTTTTTATTCAAATAACCAGTTCAGTTTTTTTTATTACGTCAATAAAATAAAAAATATTATTCATGTTTTATCAGTATGTAATTTGTATCTAAATATAATTTCCAAAATACACTACTTAAATAAAAATCATTCTATTGTATTCTAAAACTTTGCAGGCTATTTCAAAGATCTGCGCAATCTAATGTGTCAACGGACACCACCCCTCTATGGAACGTCGCCAAATCCACCTACTCCACTTTGCGGTGCATTACTGGATCTAATCCAGAGGCCGATTAATCTGACAATGCAAGTCAATACATCAGAGTATGAGTAAGTATCATTTTGTGTTGTTAGCTTTTGTTTCTTATAAAAATGGCCTGTCTAGCAGCATTCGGAACGAACACCACCCTCTGAAGCGTTGGATTTATAAAATATAATTTAATATAAATTAGAATTATTTGTGTTAAAATAATATATCTAAACTAATATAATAAAGAAAAACATTTGATGATTTGTATGTTTGTTTGTAATAGATATACTCAAAAATAACTAACCAATTTTGAAAATAACTATACAAAAACCTACAGAAAACATTAAAAGCGAGTAACATAGACTGTCTTTTAATGACTATGACTGTATGTTATCAGATGAACTGTTAGTTTGCTTGTCACTTTAATTTTATTAAAAAAATAATCACATTGACTTATCCAGATCCAACCATTTTCGAGGCTGCATGTGTATAACCCATCATAGAATCACCTTCGCTATAAGGTGCCTTCTAGGCCACGTTTTAATTTTCTTGTTAACCTGTAAATGTCTACTGCTGAACTCTTCAAAATCCTTTAAAATTTACCGTAATAGTTACGCGAGACAGGCCATTTAGATAAGTCCCCCATTGCGCCTCAACAACTCTCGCCATGGACAGTGAAACATCAACATTTTACACGGACATAGAAGAATTGACAGTACCATAAAGACTAATCATAAGTGCTACATAACTTATTATGTTATTTTTGTATATCATTAAGAAAATAAAAATGTCAAAAAGTTTTATGTGGGAGGCTGACTGATCTTCATGTTATAAATTAATAAAAATTACATTTCTGTTTTCAGAGATACAGTTATGACTGAATTCACATCAGCCTTCCTGTGTAACCCATACCCAGAACCTGTGGAAATGTATATACTACCAGCATTAACACATGATCCCAATCGGACGTTCCCCTTCCCAGCTTTATTACGATGTATGCAGGATGAAAGTAAATTCGCTAGTGGAAAGTTAAGCAGTGACTCATGGTTACTATATTCTGTACTGACGTTAGAACCTTCTGGCTTTGGTGAGTTTATTTTATGTTATTTTTATAGGATTAGTGTGACAAATGAGTCCACCTGATTGTAATTGTAGTAAAACCTGGGTAAGTGAGAACTGGATAAGTGAGAAATCTCTATAAGTGAGAGTAATAGCCAGGACCCGTCATTTCAAGCTCCCAAAACCTCTATTAGCGAGAAACAGAAACCTCTGTAAGAGAGAGTCGTTTTTTTCCCTCATGGACCTCCGTAAGTGAGACTGCTACTTATATATACCTCTTTAAGCGACAGTCGAGCTTTATTTATTTATATTATTTAGGAGGAACTATAGCTACAATAAAAATACATACAAATGTAAAAGATACACACATACAGTAACAATTGATAAAACAAATTACAAATTCAACATCTGCTATTTTATGACTCATTCTTAATTTTCGTGGAACTTCCTACCATTGTTTTTGTATTGTTTTCTCGTCAATATTGTATCTATTCTATTTCGTGGAACTAAATAACGTTGTTATTTTATCGCATTCCTTTCGAATGGACAAGTGTGCCTGTGTACCGTTCTGTTTGTCGGACTTACTCAGTTTATAGTTAATCAATTGCGAAGGAAAGTTCTGTTCTGCATCATGTCAAAACGGAAAATTAAAGTACTATCATTAAGTGATAAACTTAAGATAGTGAATGCGTTTGAAGTTCTAAATAAAATAAAATTACATAGTGCATGAATTTTTGTTTTGTTTTCGTAAACATCTTGATACCTACCCTTACAAAGTACTTATATGCCGAAATCTAATGAACACATATACACTATTAAAAATATATATGTGTACATAATATATGTTGTGCATTTTATTCACCTAATTTGATCGTATTACATATTTACTACATTCCGCTGACTTTATTCTGCGCCTCTATTAGACAGAAACGCTACCCATGTACCTCTATAAGCGAGAAGGAGATTGTGCTCCCTTGAACTCTCGCTTATCCAGCTTTGACTGTATATCAATACAGCAACATGGCATACTTTATATTAATTTGGGGTATTTCAATAATTTTATTTTTATTTTTAGCAAACGAAATACGCAAATCTGAAAATACGCGGTTGCCAAGCAACCCAATTGTCTTGGAATACTTGAAAGTACTGGCTAGACTCACTGAAAACGTCTGCAATAAACAGATAACGTATGAATATGAAGATTCGCTGTGCAGTCAAGAGACGGCGGCTGATAAAGATGACGATAGCGACAGCGAAGTGGAGCCCAACCCGACATCTGTAAGGGAGCAGACTCTTCTCACCAAATGCATAGAAATGTTGAATGAACCAGACAGATGCGTGATGATGACGTGTTCGCAGATCGGTGAGAATGATCTTAGTGATGAGTTCCTGGAGTGTATATCGAAGATATGCCATAATTTGCTCTTAAGTCACAAGATGGCGCTGCATAAATATAGGTAAGTATTGCAAATATCCGAATGCTGTTTTAAAGAATACTTCATTATCTTCGTCACAAATTTAAAAAAAATAATAGGAAATAAATAATTATTTTCATAAAAATTAACTATTGTCGAATTCTCAAACAAAAATTAAGTTTTGGGCTAACAAGCCAAGCCCAATTTACTTACACAGGGAGTCTCAGTCATATATGAATAAGTGCGTGTGAGTCCTATTTCTTTTCTGTTTTTAAAATAAATGTTAGTATTTGTGTCTGAATATCTAAATATCTCTAAAACTGCATTTGAGTCCATGACCAAGCTTTAAATCGGATTCGGGTAGATAAGAATGTTAGTGTCATCTCTGTTAATGTGTACTTTAAATGCTAGAATTTTTACCTCGAGCTAACGCTCAAAACGGCATTCAAAGGTGGATTAAGGTATATTTGCTGCATTCAGGCTACTGTTCCCGGTGATTAAGCCGACTTCCGAGCCGAGATAAATTTAACTATTAACATGTTGAGGCTGCTGTACAATTTGCGTTCAAGCGTTTATTGACGTATTTATCTCTCGGTATGGTTCCCTGACGTTTAAATGTGTACCAGTGTTCAGACTTCAGAGCGAACATAGTTTTTAGATGCGTTTCGGTTGCCATACACGCTGAAGGGAGGGTAGATTAAGGTCAGCGATATGAGATTAAGAAAGTAGTTAATTTTCCGAATCTCATCTCTATTTACAAAATCTTTAATCTAGACTAGATATTATTTTATGAATGAGATTGTTACATAACCTTATAAAAGAAAGAAAAAAAGAAAAAAATTAAGGATTATTTTCTAAAAACTTTCAATATGTCTTTCACGATATTGACGTTCGTAATCGTAAGAGCTTTAAACAAGCTAGAATTGTACAAAAGGTTATAACTTTGGCTTTAAGTCACTGATTTTTCACAGCATTTATTTAAAAAAATATCAAATTAAAAATGTTTGAACACCTGTAAGTGTAACGTTATTGGTTAAAAATCTCTGTATTGCCGAAAGTTTTAAGTTATTAGCGCGTTTAGAATGCTGTAACAGTCGTTTAGATGTTACTTTTGTGTTTTAAACCAAAAACGTATTTATTGGCCGAATTTCTTTATAAAATTTAAATGATAAACGAACTTGCACTCTAACTGATGGCAGTCTATGGTCTGTGGTGTGGTCTATATTAATGACTACTATACCCGTATCTATATATCTTTGGGAACTAAGATGTAATGGCTTACATTTTGTACAGTTGTAAGAACAGTTAAAGAAATAGTTAAAGGGCTGTCCTAGCAACTAAAATATTTGTTTTATCTGTTGATGGGTTCGGTAGTTAACTAGTTTGTTGATGTACATGCTGGTGTCCGTTAGGACGTAGTATAACATATTAGCGTTTAGCCAGTGTTTAAAGCGTGGATTGCGTTTTAATGTGTCAGGCTGCTGTTGACATTCATTTTAGCGCGTGATATAAGACAATAGTGTTAGTATTCAGCCAGTGCTTAAAGAGAGACTACTACTACTTTAGCGTTCGTTTAGAGCGTAGTATAAGCATTCAGCCAGGCTTTAGAGCGTGGACATGTTCGCTAACGGTGTAGTATATGGCAGCAGCGTTCTGGCGGTGTTTCGAGCGTGAGATGTGTTTGGGTGTGGCAGGCTGCTATACACGCTGGCATTCAAGCCGACGTTCGTGCGCGGCGTGTGGCGCTGGCTGAGCGGGCTGAGCCAGGCGTCGGCGTGCGGCGGCGCGGGCACGCCGCTGTTGGCGCTGCTGGCGCGCGGCGTGCCCGGCGCCGCGCTCGACCGCCTGCTGGCGCCGCTCGCGCTCTTCTGCGCGCTCTTCACGCTGCTCATCGGCACGCTGCACGACACAGAGTTCTTCCGCGACACCGGCGACGACGACAGCTTCAGCTGTAAGTCACCTGTGTTATGTCGGTTTGGCGTTGCGTCTGTAACTTTTTGGTGCCAGTTATCCACCAAAACATCCAACAAGCTTAAGCATCCAAGAACTATTTAATGTTCTATACGGTGATGTTGTGTTTTAAGTGATTTTGAAGAGTTTGAAGAGTCGTTTTTTATTGTCTCGTGAACTGAATAGTAAGAAGCGACAGAGGGAAACTGAAATTGGAGATAGGCAGCAGCATCTTCCTGATAACAACTAAAAATAAACTGCGGTTACCGATCAGATTATCAAGTGTGCCAATAATAGAAAAATCCTCTCCCCGCCGCCCCCTATGAGGCAACATATGGGAGAGGCTTATATTCACCGGTAGGCCGTAACAGTAACGGTGTCTTGAGTGATGGCAGCGGAAGGAACTCATCCCGTGGGTGTCGGAAAGAACGTTTAAAAAATAATAATAATGGTGACAAACGAGCACATAGTCCACCTATCTATCTTTGGCTAGGAATCAAAATGCAGATGCGTTACTCCTGAGGACTAAAATGGAATGCTTCGTTTCCAGAAAAAATGGTCTCCGGTTCTCTATACTCACCATACACACAGCAGCAATCTTCTGCTGTTTCACACTGGTATTCTGTGAAAGCGTGGTCGTCCCCCTAGTGTAGTGTAGTATAGCTATCATAACTGCAGCATGGCTGTACCATGTAAACAAACTTCCGGTATAACCATCTTGAATTGATACCAGACGTAATATACCAATATCGACTACGTAAAGCAACTCCTAAGTTGTCCAACCTCTGGCGATAATATCACTGTATTGACTGTTTATTGGTTAGAGACCCCCCACTAGATGGATTGACGACCTGGTAAAACATGCAGGAAGTCGATGGATGCAGGTGGCTCAAGTTTCATTAGCACAGCTTTGACATTCACAATTGTGGATTTGTAGGTCTCTGGTGAAGTAAAAAGGTGTGGGGTGTATACTATGAAACATTCTCTCTCGTCATCGACCCGTTTGTTAATTTTCTTCGTTAATTAGATATTCACTTGACATTCGCCTGCACTACATGTATACAAATAAATAAAATTGAAATGTCTGTTTGTAATGTGAAAGTAACAGCTTTTTACTCAATCCATATGAAAGTATATACGGTACATATAACAAAAAAACTATTTTAAAATTTTTGTCCGTCTGTCTGTTTGTTACGGCTAATCTCCGAAATAGCTGGACTGATTTTGACAGACACACTGGTAGGTAGCCAGAGTAACTTTTATTTAAAAAAATAATAAGGGTTTCGTGCAATAAAAAATACATGAAATCTAATCGTAATAAATTACTAATTATTAAACATTCATTAATCATAATGAAATTTAATGGTAGATAAATTGTACGTGAGAAAATGCTCTCACTTGGTACTCACGACTCTACTAGTAGTATACGTAGTATATAGTTTACACATGGTAGAGCCATGCTGCAGTTATATTAGTAGTATAGTTGTAGCACGAATGGGTCGGCTCGACTGGAGAAGGACCACGCTCTCACAGAATACGGGCGTCAAATAGTAGCTTAATGCTGCTGTGTTTCGTATAGTGAGTGTAGAGAACCGGAGACCCATTTTACTGGAAACGAGGCATTCCATCTTAGTCCTCACGGGTGACAACGCATCTGCATTTTGATTTGTAATCAAGGATAGATGTAGATGTCTATGGGCCACAGCAACCTCTTACCATCAGGTGGACTATGTGCTCGTTTGTCATCCTATCCTATAAAAAAATACATAGAAGTGATTAGTTGTATGCTTCACTGGGGGACGTTGGTACGGTGCACAGTGAGCGTGGGCGGCGCTACGCCGGGCGCGCGCACGCACGCGTTCGAGTTCTCGGAGCTGGGCGGGCTGTGCCGCGCGCTGCGTGCGCTGTGCCTGGGCCTGCTGGAGCTGGCTGTGCCCGACTGCCGGCCCGCGCGCACGCACTACGCGCACGCGCACCACACGCAGCCAGCCAACGCGCCCGCGTGGACCCATCTTTTTAAGGTATTATCGTCGTGGACGTTACGCACTTTTAGTTAGGCTCGATTTTGTTAATTTATTTCACAAAATTGTTTACATTATTGCGAATATTTGTTGAATTGGTTGAAGAAATGCGTGCTCTCAGCATGTATTTGTAGGAAGGTAGTTAAATAGAATTAATTTACAATCACAAAATACACGGATCACAGGTAATCAACTATAAATTGTACTGAGACTAATTTAATGGCTAATAATAATAATTAATTTGTTTCCATGAATTAATTATCCAAATAGCGGGATACAACGAGTGAACAGTGCCACGCCAGAGCCAACTGCCTTAACGGCGGCCGATCCGTCCCTTTTATACAATCGAGACAATAAGCTACACGTGCGCCACTGCAGGTGCTACACGCAGGTGTGCGGTGCACGTGTTGTTTACAATAATTCTGACTACCCACAGAGGGGCTGCGACATATTTTTTATCGATTTTGAAGACATAATGTATAGAAGTGTTGAAGCCCCGACTTCAGAAGCAAATTATTCCATTATTTTTAATTCTTTAAATGCGGGTTTACTTTTTATTTTTCACCACTTTATGTAGATTTAGAAATATCTAAAGCTCGAATGTCGTCCGATTAGTAAAATTAATTTGTTTTGATTTTTTTTACTAGAACACTAGAAATGTCAGATCGTGATACAGAGCAGCATCACTTGTGCGAGGGTATTTATTTTGTGTTTACTTATTCATTTGCCCAGTGTAGCGAGCATGGACAACTCTTTTAAGAAATGTATGTTTGCTGGCGCATTCTTAGGAACAACTATGCCCAATAATTATTTCAAAAGAATGATGTTAATGTTATAAACAGAACTGTGGCTATGAAAATTCATCACCATATATCGTCTCGTGGGTGTTGTAAGTGGCAATGTTTGTTAGAGTCATAGAATACTATAATACACAATAGAATGGCTGTCAACCTTATTTTGTACGAGAATCGGCGTCGCCGAAAGCACACATACAAGCAATAACATCGTATTGTCACTATTACAAACCAGATTCACTGTGTTGACAGACTGAGTAATATGTAATGTATGAATGTTACCTCAATCGGATAAGTCGTTCACGATCGCTAATAGACGCACTAACGATTTTAATTTTATACATAAAATTCCGGTATGAGTGTGTTCGTAATTTTCTTCCTAAACGGCTTGATCGATTTTGAAGAAACTTTTATGGGGTGCTTATGGAGTCACCTGGATAGTTCTTAGCTATAGTTGGATCCAATAGGTTACGCTGTTGTCGAGATCCTGAAATTACCATTGCGAAACCGAGGCAGATCGCTAGTAATATAAAAAAGTAAAGATTCTTAATTTGTGTTTATGTCCCAATTATTGTATTTTATCAATTTTTACTCATGCACAGTACGATTATGTGTCAACATTTCTGACATTATGAAACAAACAGAAATCGCAAACCGCGTTCGAACCGTAGTGCATTAGGTCGCGTAGGACGCTCCAAGCGTGTATAATTCGGTTGCACCGTTGAGTTCGCTTACGTAGGACAAGGATTAAAGTCGGTGTGACCGGGCGCCAGGTGATGACGCAACTGCTACGCGCGCTGTACGCGCGCGACGAGCGGCTGCAGTTCAGCGCGGGTGCGGGCGCGGGTGCGGCGTGGGCGGGCGAGCACGACGACGACGCGGCCGAGGTGGCGGCGCTGGTCGCGTATGCGCGCGCGCGCTCGCGCCACAACGCGCCGCTCGTGGACGCCGCGCGCGCCGCCAGCACCGGTGCGTATGTGTACAAGTGCATTCACTTTTTTCTTTGGTAATGATTTCGAACGGTTGTATTTCTGCCAATGTGTCAATTAATAAAAATGTTAATCAAATTTGTTTAAAAACTTCTTCACAATATGTTAATGTGACACATTGCAAATTTTTGCAAAATTTTGACAGCAGCTTTAGTCAGCAAACTGGATTGCGACAGTATCTCAAGCTAATTAACTGGAGGTCTTCATCACCATTGGTTCACTTGTTTCGTCGTTCCACTAATAGCTCACATAAGCAGACATTAAATACACAGAATCGTACCACTTTTACGTATCAAAATCCATTATTTAAACAATACTACAGGATATAGCCATCTGCCGGAGCTCAAGTTCTTGCCAAAACTCACCGCTTGACTTTTGTATAACGACTTTATGTATAATGCATTAACTCACCACGTTAAGCACTGGTTGTTATAACTACACAATTGACCTGAACGCCAAGAACAACATATAAAGTTGTCATATTTTAGTTCTCAGGGGTGACAATACATCTGTAAAAAAGTCTTAAGTGAAAAATATTTTGCAATTAAGACAAATTCAAAACTCTTATAAACTTCAAAAATTACAAGCATTGATATTTTCTTCAAACTTGTTATTGTGGAGCAGCAATGACTTCAGTCATGAATACTTCTAACATTCAACTAAACCCGAGGATTGTTCTCTCAAAACAATATATGTGGCATTCACATTTTAACATTTTATAATTTCGTTTCATGGAATACTATATTGAACATATATGAGACAATACGTTATATTTATTAATAAAGATGTTAAAAATAAATTTACAAAGATCCGCGTAATACAGTAAAATGATGTATCTTATATACTTTGAAGAGCACCGCTTTCACTCAATTGCGGGGGAGTGCGGCGGGTGCTCTTCAAACTAAGTAAGACATTACTTTATTTTATTGTATTATATAGATATTTCTTAACAAAATCGCGATCACAGCGCCTATGTTTCGCACCTTTGACGCTGGATGAGTATTTTAGATCTATACATAATAATAAGATTTAATAAAGAAAAACATTAAATTTGTTCGGTAGTTTGGAAAAAAGCAAGTTACATATCAGTACTAAAAAGTTATATCTAAATAAAAAAGAATAGGCTCATTACCATTGAGGTATTATGTACTATGTACTAGAGGCGACACTGCATTCAGCTACTCTGTTCCACGCAACTGCGGTGTATACACCGCACTTTAATCAGTCAGTCAGTCACTCGCTGGGCGCTTGTGGAATTGTCACGTGTTGTGTTGATTTAAAAAAAATCTCTTGATAAAAATATGCCATCGTGTGTACTTAGATATTATACAAATAATTCAAGAAATGTCAGTAAAAACCAAGGAATTACTTTTCATCTCTTAATAAGATACTTAATCAATAAAAAAATTATTATGGATTAATAATAAAACGAATTATTTCTAAAACGCCATCTCGTGTCAAGGAATATATATTATGAAATTAATATGTTCAGATGCGACATTTCTGTGGGTATTTAACTATAGGACGAATGTACTATTATACACATTTTTTTGTATAAACATATATAAGTTATTATAATTAGGCTAAATTTTTCATGTTTAAATCAGCTTATTATTCTTTTATTTTATTTTTAGGTTTCCACATCAAAGTCAAAGTGGAATAAATTCGTCCATTTTTAACACTCGCGTGCCCAGCATTTAATGAACGACTCTTTTTCTAATTTAAATAAATATATTTGTAATTTAAATGTTATGTTAATAAGTTTGTTAAACATACATTTAGTATGTTTTTTATTTTTGACTTAAAATATTCAGATAAAATATCATTTAAATATAATTGTGATATAATATTATGTAATATTATATTAAATAAGCAAATATAATATACAAAATAAATGACAAAATTTAAATATTGTTCTCGATATAATTTACCTATTTAACAATACAATCTATTATTACCTACGGGTCACGAAACTACGAAGCCGAAATTAGCCGATTGTCTCTTTCCAAAGGTCGATGTGCAATATTTATCGCCGGGTACTGTATAATATATTACTTCAATGGCCATTACTAATAAACTTAAAAAAATCTTTACTTTATTGCAGAAGAGGGACCTCCATTAACGATCAAGGAATTACGAATGCTCACTATATTGAAAGAGATTCCTTTCGTCATGTCTTTTTCAACGCGGGTATTGATACTCCAGGCGTTACTTCTTAGGTCAGTTTTATAAACTTGAAGTTAAATTATCTTCTTTATAAACGTTTAAACCATTGTAAAATATATTTAAATAATTTCTTTTTTTTAGAGAAAAGAGTGCCCATTTGTACGAGCTGTCAAATTTTAATGAAGGCCCAACGATAAACATCAATGTTCGTCGGACGCATTTATATGAAGATGCTTTCGAAAAGCTAAGCCCTGATAATGGTGAGGATTTACTAAGTATTTAATTACAATTGGCTATGGTAATTAACTACTAATATGGTCAACATTTCTCTTCATAATGTTATTATTAATAAATACATTTTGGTATTTCTGAAGAATCACGCCTTTTTCAATCGTGCTTATTCATAAACGTTCTAACATAATTACTTTTTTTACTTTCTCGAGATAAAAATAATACAATAAAAAATGCTTTATAATTTACCGGGGCCATTTTTTTAAGTTTTATTTTTTATTGGCTTTTACAGAACCTAACCTAAAATTAACGATGAGAGTGCAATTTATAAATCAAGTTGGCGCGGATGAAGCGGGCGTCGATGGCGGTGGAGTTTTTAGAGAATTCCTATCAGAACTCCTCAAGTTAGTAAAAGTTGTTATAGCGCCTAATCTTCGCATTGAAGTTATCTATCATTAAACGGTCTATTACTAAACATATTTTCTTCTAAATATACTTTTTATCATACCTTGATCGAAAGTTCGTATTTCGACCCTATTTTCAGGGACAAAAGTGCCACGTTGTCTCCCGATTCAATGACTTTCTTAATCTAATACGCATGCGTCAAATTTCTAGCTCTATTGTTTGTAAACGTCAAAAGTATATGTCATGATACATTTAACCTCACAATGATGAAAGTGCCACGTTGTCTCCCGATTCAATGACTTTCTTAGTTTAGTACACATGCGTCAAATTCCTAGCTCTATAGTTTTTAAACGTCTAAAGTATATTTAATTATACTTTGAGAATAAATTATGTTGAATTTAAATCGAACTTTCGATCCTGGTCTGGTAAAAAATAGTATACGCACTACGGGAGAAAAGTATGACATCGCAACCCGCGTGCTTAATAATACACCCACAATAATACGCGGATTGCAATGTCATACTTTCCTCTCTAGTCGCGTAATATACTATTTATCACAAATTGTTAATATTCATCCATGACATTGACGTGCTTATCTAATAGTATTTTTATAAGTCCTCTTCCCTCTCGGATGTTGCACTGAGCGATCGTGTTCACTAGAAACTTGTATTTAATTTTTAAAAAGTAAATAAAAATAAATATTCTATTAAAATTCCGTTTCGAGTACTTGGCGAACATAAATAACGCGCGACTTTACGGCGAGTGACGGTAGCGCTAAGTGTGAACGGGACTACCACCTGTAGGACGAAGATAACGAGATATATGCAAGACCTGCTTTCGCGCAACCTGACCGGCTAGCCCTGCCAACCAATCAATCGCACACGCAACTCCTCCTACCTGGGTGATATCACGCGCTGTTATCGGTCGCTCCGCCTGCTACACAATACGCATTCCCGTCGGCTTTTATATCGCATTTAGGCCTACGCACATAGTTCCATAATGTCGGTTCAGAGGACACCTCCGTCTACAACTTCAAGGGAAAATAATCTGCAGCAGCAATCTGATGCGAGCGACGGTATGGGGCTTCAGGCTGAAGCCTTGATGGATACACAGTATGAACATACTCCCCCCAGCTATGTCTTTCTTCGTAATAATAGAAGACCAAGAGAGGATGAATTCTCGCCGTCTCAGTTTCTTGATTTTAAACAGGAGATGACTAGACTCATTACGTCATTTATTAGTGAGCAAAAAAACTCACATTTGGAAATCACGAACACACTTAAGTCCCTCCAACAAACTTCTTCAAACATTGAACAGTGCGTATCTCTCTTAACTCTGCAAAATGAGGAATTCCAAAAGAAAATTGAGAAACTGGAAGCTCAAGCAAAAAAGGATCGCGAGTACATAAATATACTTGAAGACAAAATTGAAGATCTCCAAAGGACGTCACGCAAAGCTAGTCTAGAGCTAAAGAATGTTCCACGTAAACCCTCTGAGACCAGGGATAATTTAATAAATATGATAACTTCCCTATCGAAAAATATCAGCCTTGATTTGTGTGCGCGGGATATTAAGGATATTTTCAGAAGTAGACCACGTAATGACAGGGAGAAAAATTCACCCATAATACTGGAACTAGGATCCATGATCTTGAAATCTGAAATATTAAAAAAGTCTAAGGAGTTCTACAACAAAAATAAGTGCAGATTACAAGCAAAACACCTAGGCATTACTTCGAGCGAGGACACGCCTGTTTATGTATCAGAGCAGCTCACCGCTAAGGGTGCCCGACTATTCTTCCTGTCTCGGGATCTCGCCAAATCCAATGGGTATAGATACTGCTGGACTGCGTTTGGAAAAGTTTTTGTGAGAAAAGATGATACATCTAAGATTATATGCATCCAGAGCGAGGCACAGGTGCACCAACTTCTTCAACAAAAATGACTATATTCAAACGATCCAGTGGCGACTTCTCTCTGCTTTATTCAATATGCATATTATTATATTGTTCTTGGTAAGATAACCGTTGTAAACTGTTCATCTCCTGTTAGCGCAACTTTCATTTGCACACATATACCTCTGGTCTCAAAAACTGTAAAAATACAACAACCAAATACACCTATATACAATACCACACGCTCACACCTCATAAACACGTTATTTACACATTTACAAAAAACTACACCCACAGTACAAACACATAACATACTACAACAACCATTCACTCTTACATCCTACAATGTTAACAACCTACTCATATTGATGAAATCTACCTATTCTCGTGCCTACTTGCAAGTGTTATTAACAAGCTTTTCTTCACTCACTCCATTTATTAACCTCTGCAGTAACTTACTCGGTACTTACTCTTTTTTAAATGGATAGCCAGCTCACTAACCAGGAACTAGACTGCATGCAAATAACACACTCGATAAAATGTAATATAGAAGATTTAACTTACCGTGGGTTGGGTTCCTTCCGTAATAATCTATTTATTGTAACGCAAAATATGGCTAGTATCTATAAGAACCTCGACGACCTTTTGGTTACCCTATCTGTGTTGAACTTTGAAATTGACGTTCTAATACTTACTGAATGCAGATTAGACTTTAACAAACCAATACCATTTTTAAATAATTACACCTCCTACCAATCAAGTAAACTTTTAAATCAGAATGATGGGGTAGTAGTTTATATCAAAAACAATCACCGAGCTAAGGTTATTGACCTTCACCTCTCTGACGCTACTGGGCTACAAATAGAGATTGATAAATATGTCTTGCTGGGTATATACCGCTCCCCCTCTTTTCTCAACGCCGATAGTTTTACTAGTTCTCTCGACTTACACCTGGAAACTATTAGTCATCATAAAAATGTGTCTGTCATAGGTGACATAAATATTAACCTGCTTCCCGTAGCTACAGAGCAGCCTCAGTATCGCCGTAATAGACTCAGCTACTTAGAAGTATTATCCCTGCATGGCCTATTGCCTGGTCACATTTTTCCTACGAGAAAGAGATCCTGCCTTGACCACGTAATGATAAAACTTGAAGTCAACCTCATTGCAGCTTTTATTGCCGTTCTTAACACGACGGTCACAGATCACAATCTTGTGTTGCTTCAGTTATCTAAAACATCGACCCAAAAAGCCCCGATTAAGTCGAAGTTAATTACAGATTTTGATGGGGCATATAATACCCTCATATCGACGAGTGTCCCACTTTCAGAAATGCCAAATAGCCCTGAAGAATTTGCCAACCACTTTATTAATATACTTAAGTACGCTATCCAACAAAACTCTAAATTAACCCACTCTTCTAACAGTAAAAGGACATTAAAACCCTGGATAACTCCCGGAGCTCTGAGGTGTATAAGGCTAAGAAATAAATTGCAACAAAAGGTAGAAAATGACCCACACAATATAATCTTAACAATAACTTACAAACGTTTTAGAAATTTCTGTTCCAACCTTATTAAAAAACTTAAACGACAGCATCATGGAGAACTTATTAAAAAATCTGCCAATAACCCCCGTAAGTTCTGGAAAACAGTTAATGAGATCACTAGGTACAAACCACCTAAGTCAAATAATGTAGCCCTAATTAACTTAAAACCGCTACCACTAGATTCATTGAACTATGTCAACAACTACTTTGCCTGTATAGGTGCTAGCTTAGCTGAAACAATTACAACAAATTCAGGTACTAGAAGTAGTGTATTAGTAGCCCCTACCACTAATTATACACAAACCTCGTCCTTCGTCCTGCTAAACACCGACTACAAAGAAGTTGAGCGCATCTTGATGAGTCTAAACTCAGGGAGCTCACCTGGATGGGATGGTATCAGCACTGGTTTTTTAAAGCATGCTAGAGCCTTTGTTGTACCGTATATACGTAACCTTGCAAACCTTTGCTTTAGTACTGGTGTCTTTCCCAGCGCCTTAAAGAGGTCTATAGTAACCCCTGTGCATAAGAGCGGGGACAGAGAGGATGTAAGCAATTATAGACCTATCTCTGTCCTCACCTCCGTCTCCAAAATAATTGAAAAGTTGCTCAACAACAGATTGGTTGATTACCTAAATAAATTTAAACTACTATCCAATTCTCAGTATGGTTTCAGAAAAGGGTCTTTCAACTCAAGATGCTATTCTGGATCTCACTTCAACTATAGTTGGTGAAGTGGACAATGGCAGCAAATGTCTTACAGTCTTTTTGGACTTGAAAAAGGCTTTCGACACCGTCTCTCTGCCTATTCTTATATACAGGCTAGAATGCTTAGGTATTAGGGATACTCCACTCATGCTTTTTAAAAGTTACCTACAGGAAAGAACTCAGGAAGTAAAAATAAATGACTTATACAGTGAGAAAGCCACTACTAGTTTTGGAGTCCCACAGGGTAGTGTCCTGGGCCCGACTCTCTTTTTAATATACATAAATGATCTATGTAATCTAAGGGATGTCGGGTGCAGGATACACTCCTACGCGGATGACACTGCGCTTGTTTTTACTGGTAGCACCTGGAATAATGTCCAAGAAAGTACTGAGAGGGGATTAATTAACGTATATAACTGGCTTAGAGACAACCTTCTTACCTTGAACACTCAGAAAACTAACTACATCTGCTTCACTCCTTCTAATAAATCCCAACCTAACCATAACTTTGCCATTAAAATTCACACTTGCTCTAACCCTGGTAACCTGATTTGCGACTGTCCTATTATTGAAAAAGTTAGCCAAACTAAATACCTAGGTATAATGCTGGAACCAACGACTTAGCTGGCACTCACATTTGGAGCTTTTAACAAACCGCACTAGGAAACTCATATGGGTATTCAAATCACTACGGCGGGTCATGTGTAACAAACTTAAAAACCGAATCTACGTGGCCCTGGCCCAATCGGTGCTCACCTACTGTATCTCGATTTGGGGAGGAGCAGACAAAACTCACTTCTTTGCACTCGAAAGAGCTCAGAGATCACTTATCAAAGTCATCTACTCCAAACCTTATCGTTTTCCCACTGATAAACTATATAGAATGAGTGGCCTACTCACAGTCCGAAAACTCTATATTCTGAATCTCATCTTAATGTGCCACAAATCTCTACCTTATGTCGACCTAAGTCATAAAAGAAGGAAGGATGTCGTTGCACCCGTCATTGCCGCACGTACTGCGTTCGCTAGAAGACAATATAGTAGGCAGTCTGCTTATATATACAACAAAGTAAACAGTATACTTAAAATATACCCCATGTTATCTTACACTTGCAGGAAAACTGTAAAAGAATGGTTGGATTCACTTAGCTATGAAGATGTTGAAAACCTTTTCATAAGAATTTGTTAAAATGTTTGGTTCAACTAAAGCTGGTTCCTGTATGCGGAGTGTTCATACCGATCCCAAGGAACCTTATCCGTAGGGCATACATGTAACCAACACATGCACACATGCACACTCCCATACAGACACGAGCTCGTATACATACACTTATTCACACACTACATGCACATATACATGTACACACACACGTACACATACACACACACACACACACACACACACACACACACACACACACACACACCCCACACACACACACACACACACACACGCACACACATGTACATTTTATATACTACCATACATGCTTACATGAAAATAGTTCATTGCCACTAGAGCCGCAATTTAAATTTAAATTATATCAAAAATTATTTCAATATAAAAAAAAAAACAATGTAAACCATACCATTCTAAACTAACCTTTTAGATATAATATACCTACCTAGTTTATCTTATTTAGCCAACCGTAAGGGAAGTAGCGAGTTATTCCCAACACAAGTGTCTCTGACTACTTAAAGGGAAGACTCGACAAATCTTTGTAATAGGATTTTTGGAAATAAAGGAAATTTTTAATTTAATTTTTTTAATTTTTAATTTAATTTAATTTAATAAGTGGTAGAGCCATGCTGCCGCTATATTATGGTTGTAGCACGAATGGGGCGGCTCGAACGGGATAGGACCACGTTCTCACGGAATACCAGCGTAAAATATCAGCTTGATGTTGCTATGTATCGAATAGCGAGTTTAGGGAACCAGGGACCCTTTTTATTGGAAATAATTCATTCCGCTCTAGTCCTCGGGGGTGATATTGCATCTGTATTGCAATTTTTAATCTAGGATAGATGTAGATGCCTATGGCCGACAACCATCAGGTAGACTGTGTGCTCGTTTAAAAAGTGTATAAAAGTTATGAAAATATAAATTTCAGCCCATTATTAACCTATTACTATTAGGTTATAAGTCACAAATATTTTTCACCATGTTTCAGGTCCGCGTTCGATCCCAATCGAGGGCTGTTTCGCTTAACAAAGGATAACATGCTGTATCCCAACCCAGGCGTGCACTTGCTGTATGATGATTTCCCCATGCATTATTATTTCGTTGGAAGAATGTTAGGAAAGGTATGTTTCAATTTATTTTTGTTTATTGTTTCTTTAATTTATACAGAGAGTTAGTTATTTTTTATTTAAAGATCTGCGAGGCGAGATTAATTATCACACTCATTTATTGTATTTCGAATCTTAAACCAGATCTCCCTATAGGATTTTTAAACAAAATTAAGAATGAAAAACTTTGATGAAGATAAAGATGACTGCACATCAAAATGAAATTAATTTGAGGTGGACCTGGATTTTGCGAGTCGAGAAACTTTGTTATATGCAGTGAACGCGAATAAAATACGGGGACATTACTAGCTCCAAAGAAAAACCCAACGCAAATTGAGCTTTAATAGGCGTGGCTTTCCAAGTGTGCAAGTTCTTTTGCGAATTGCGAATGAGTTAAGTTGTTAAGTAGCAGCACTGTCGGCGGTCGATTTTATTATTTGTTGATTTTTGCATACCAGATATTTGAAAGTGCCTTCTTGTGCAATTAAATGTTGTGTAAATCTTTCATATTTGTATAAAAATAATATCGGAATTCTTTTTCACGTGAGTGTTTAACGCTATTTCTCATATTTCTATTTCTATTAAAAATTAATCGCCCCCTGCGGTCTACGGGGATAGAGGTTGGTGGTAAGCCAACCGAATAATGTGTTTTCTGCACACATTAACAAACTTATAATAATGATAATTTTATTATTTTTAATGGTCGCCTAGAGGTTGAACGTAATTCATAAAATTTTAAGTTTGTATATTAAGCAAGCTGTATTTCATTTTCAACTGCGCATTATAACATAGATATTTCATATACAAGATGTAAAATAAACCCTTTTTTGCCTTGACATACTCTACACAAATTATTGACATAGGAACATTTGAAATTACACAAAATTAAAAAGTAATTTCTTGTTGGCTTTATTTTAAATTTCTCTGTCGACAATCTCTACTCTGTGCGAGTGTTTGACTTCGGAGAACTATGTCACAGTGTAACTACTACTAACAGCCGGTCATCGAAGGCGTCAAGACGGGGCAACAGACGTGGGCTGAGCGCTCTCGAGTGACTAACGGCCACGCTAGCAGCTAGACTAGCGGACACGCTAGGGTTGTCCTGTCACACAAATAAATTAAAATGGTTCACACTGCATGTGCGGTAAAAAAAACTGGGTCGTCCACATTTAAAGAAAAGGAGTTAAAGTTATTATAACCGATTTTTATTATTTCTGAACACTAATTGTCCGATTAAGTTAGGTATTTAATTTGTTTAAACGTGAAATAAAATAAAATCAGATTGTTATTTTTTTATTACTTCCCGTTCTAACAACCTGCTAGGGTTGGGTAGGGTTTATTGTTTATGTCGGCTTTTCCGTCAACATCAAACGCGATGGCTGACTGCATGTTCTTCTTGGGCTGTGACTATGTGTTTGAAAATGGCCCGTATTCTATGAATGTCTTCTTTAATTTAATTCATTTGTAACACATTTTATGCAAATTTTAGCTTTTTGCACTCCTCCTCCATGTTTATTTCTCTATGGAGATGTATAAGTTTAAAGTTATTTTTGTAATTATCATAAGACAGTACTTGACCATATGGTCGCACTGTCTTAACGTAACGAAAGCCTATTCACTCTTGCATTGAAGACGCCCAGATTGTACTCGAACGGAAAGACAGACGCTGGCAATTTATTCCACTCCTTTGCTGTACGCATTACGGAAGACGTAGCAAACCATTTGGTTATAATGCGTGGAATATCAACAACTAAGAAGTGAAGGCCCGCCAACCGCCTGGTTGTCCGATGGTGGGAAAGGGAGAGAGGAATTATAGCATATTATAATTTCTGTGCACACTCTCTGAAATACGTCTTATAGAATACCGATAGGCTCGCTACTTTGCACCTATACTTGCGGCTGACAAGATGGGTTTCAACAAATCAAGGTTACCAATAACGTCTTTCCGCTGAGTTCAATGCTGCTAGATAGCTTTTTCAGGCCCAACCCATATGTGACTGCAGTACTTCATGCACAACCGCACTTGTGCTTTATATAAGTGAATTACCGCCGTAGTACCTATTATTCCTAGTTTTCTTGTGGCTGTTTTGTACTCCAAACATACATTTAGGGAAATAGGAGCCAAGGCTCCTTTTAGCGGTGAAGAGACATGCTTGTGTTTTGGAGGCGTTGAATCTTACGAAATGTGGGTCAATTGTCCAGTTTAAACTAGAATTCTACAAAGTCGGAAGGACAATGGCGAAGTCCTAAACAAATTTTAATTGACTTTTTTCTTGCGTCTACAAATGCAAAATATGTAAAAATATAGAGTTTAAAATCCTGATAATTTTTTCTTCAGTCATACTACTGCAGGAAGTCAGGAATTAAGGATATTCCAGTTTAAACAAAATACACATCAGACTAGGCTGTATGGTATAAAACGCCTTAATTGCCAAATCTTTACAACAATAACTAGTCAATTTAAATTTCATATATGTTTATATAGGGTAATTACTAGCATAGAGGGAATCCTTAAAGAACGCATTAGTATATAATATAGAAGAGTTTTCTGAATAAAACACACGTCAAACTCGGCTGTATGGTATAAGACCTTTGCCTGTCTTAACTGACGAATCGTAACAACTACGAAAATTACTATAGTCAACCAATTATAAGAAATACCTTTTGACGTTTCACATTAATCATTTCGCAATAACTTTGCTCAAGCGTACTCACGACATTTAAAATAACCTTTTCCGTAAATCCGAAGAATTATAAAGTTATGTACCTATATTTCTTTACCTCGTGTATAGTTTTTATCACTAATTTAAATTCGCATCTTTCAAACAGAGCAAGATACTAAAAAAGTATCCAGTATCACCTTTTTTTTTTTACTTGACGTCGTTTCAATGATATGTCGCTATGTAACTTACCGTAGTGTTTGGATCATTAAAATTCATTGTTATGTGAATAATCGGCAAAAATATTCAGATAATCGGTAAAAATATTCAAATAATGGAATCGTTATTTTTGTAATGTATGATTTGTTCAACTTAATTTTATTTTAAAATTCATCAATCATGAACAAAACAATTTTTTTTTTAAATTTGTGAACGCAAATTTGTGTAAGCAAAAAAATTCATATACAAGGCCGTGCTGAAAAAACTACTACGTAATTTCAATCTTCCGCCATTTCGGGAGCTAACTATGCGTAATTTTGTGTTTATCTTCTTATTTTGTTGCTCAGCTTTAACTTTTTGGACTATTTCTTCTATATTCGTTGAAGCATGTGCCCATATCAAAAAGGATGATTGGACAAAAGTGGTATAAAAAACAAAAATAATTTGATTATGGATGACTTTGAAGGAGACATTAATTTTGATTGCATTATCGAAAATCAAATAATAATCTAAACAACGACAGCTCAACTAGTTGTAATCTAGTTTCAATCTTAAATTTTTATAAATGTGCCTCTAGAAATAAGCAGTAACAACAAATAAGAAGAAACTGATCAATCTTGTGTTTTAAATAATGCGTTTTTTATTTATTCTTGTATTATTCATCCAAACTGTAAATGATTACCAACTCTAAATAATAGTTATCGATTTTTTAAAAGAATCGAATTTTGTACGTTTCCTTTTTTTGGTTGGCATACTTGGTGCAATAAGTCTGTCAGCTGTCAAAATGTATTTCTTAGATTTGGTAGACAATAGTCAATTAAGTTTTGAATTGTGTATGATGATTTTTTTCCAGACTTCGATAGGCTATAAGCTTGATTAGATAATACATAGTAAATTATTTTATTGATATCTGTAATGGTGACATAAGTAGACGCTTAATAATTCCATCACCTATTATTTCGCCATAATCCTTTGTGAAGAATAATATGGATAAAACTTAAATTTTGATTATCAAATATAAATTTTTGGCCACAGACTAATAATTGTTTGACATTGTTCTTAGAGTAATAACATACATAAATATTACTTAATCTGTGCTACTGACAGTATGAAGTATGAACGTCAACAAACGACATAATTTGTCCCTTAGAATAATTACATACATAAGTATGCATAGAGAGAACCTATTCGGCATAAATTGAGTCAATATACTTGTCTCGCTTTTTAAATTTAAATTTTCAAATTAGAAAAAAGCGACAAATCTATTGAAAGATATTGCGTGGTAATAGAAATGTCAAGTGGTTATCTTTGGTCTCTTTATACTATGCCAAATATGAGAGTAGGAACACTTGTATCTTCTAATTTACTAGGAAAATTACATTTCTGTTTTAATAGTATAATATGTGACGTTACTATACAAGACGACGTTTTTAATTTATAGTGATTTCGTTTGCAATGTTAGCAACAGTCAACATCGATATACTCGGTTTTGTTTAGGTATTTATTTTTCTTGATTTTGATTATTGTATTATATTGCAAATATTCGTTTCGCAAACTTTAAAAGCTAATAGTTATGGAAGTATGAATACTATGTCTTGACAGACATACGGTTCATAAGCTAGTTGGATACCATTTGTAATTCCAATTGTATAGGCTGAATAATGATCAGCCCCGGCTTCACACAACTGTTTTCTAGATCTCGACAACAGCTCCACTTACCGGGTCCAAATGTACTTACCTACTTCCTTCCTTTTATTGAAACCACATTTTTTTAAATACGTAGTTTCAACAAAAACACCTTCAGACCCCCCAATTATACGGTCCTCGTGGCGCAGGCCCTGTACGAGAGCCTGCTAGTGGAGCTGCCGCTGGCGGAGTTCTTCCTGAGCAAGCTGTGCTCGTCGCGCGAGGCGGACGTGCACGCGCTGGCGTCGCTGGACCCCGCGCTGTACCGCGGCCTGCTGCTGCTGCGAGCGCACCGCCGCCAGGACGTGCCCGACCTCGGCCTCGACTTCACGCTGCTCAGCGACGAGCTCGGCGAGCAAAAGGTGACCAACGCGCATACTTTAACCTTACTCCAACTGAACACCAACTATCAAATAAACGGAGCGCTGCGTATATTTTAAATGATGTCGAAACCGTGTCCAACTTCTTTACGCGCACTCACGCACACATCTTTCTTTTGACGTGAATACGTCTTTAAATTTGCTTTCATAGATGGATTTTTATTTTATAGAATAAGGGTATCAAATGAGCACACAGTCCACCTGATGGTAAGTGGATGCTGTGGTCCCTAGATATTCACATTTATCCTCGATTAAGAATCAAAACGTAGGTGCGTTATCACCCCTGAGGACTATGATGGAATGCCTCATTTCCAGTAAAAAAGAGTTTCCGGATCTCTACACTCACCATACGAAACAGCAGCATCAAGCTGCTATTTTACGCTGGTATTCTGTGAGAGCTTGGTAATTTCCCGGTCGAGCCGACCCATTCGTGCTACAAACATAATATAGTTGCACCGTGACTCTACCGCGTAAAAAATCAGATGCAATTCAAAAAACTAATGTAAACAAAAACGGGGAATACAGTTCGGTGTTGCAGCTGCACTCGATAACTACAGGATCAAAGAATTTGTTACGTTGAGTGAGGACTCTGATGCATCGCGCGCATTTTGAGGTCGTTCCGTTGCGACACATAATGTTTGTATAGTATAAATTTTGACCACATATTCCCGTAAAACAAACGGGCGTATGTCACAAACCGATTTTTTCTTCTTTCTTTATCAGACAGTAACAATTCGTTGCTGGACGTACATATATTCACGTAAAATGCGTGTTATTGGTTTGAGATTTTGAATGATCTTAAGTGAATTTGTACTTATGAGTTTTGACATGGATTTTGCATCAAGGGAAATGTACGCAGCGTTTCGTCTTTTTTTCTTTATTGGTCCGAGATTGCAGACACAATTTGGTGTAACATTAATATTTATGTATTTATCACCATAATTAAAACTTATCAAAGTCATCTACTGAACATCTCCACGTCTCCGTCGACATCTCGTCTCCATCACGTCTCCATCACGTCTCCACAATGGATTGTCTCATAGTGCTTATAATTCTAATCTTTTCTAAATTTTAATTTGGCGATAGCAATGATTCCTTTCGATATTTTGAATGCAAGTCCAACTACTATGGCATTATTCATGATCATATTCTATGACGTCATCATCTTTATCTCGATATTTTCGAATTGTGTGAATATAAATGTAGCGACTTTTGTAAATGCTTTATAATTTTTTTTAGATAGAGGAACTGAAGCCAGGTGGTGCAAACATTCCCGTTACAGCAGAAAACAGAATAGAGTATATTCACCTCGTTGCTGATTATAAACTTAACAGGTAAACTACATCGCATTGTTTCTTATAGATGGCGGTATACTCCTTGTGTATCATGATATGTAAAGTATCAATTTTTATATATAATGAGATCGCGATCCGTTTGCCAAGCTTGGCGATTATGGCAAATCCTCCCTGATATGAAAGGTTCATGTGAAGTATCATGATCCTACTTAGTGGTTTCACGAAATAACTTAAGGCATACGAATCTGAATCTGAAAGAGAAGCTTGTTTAAATACCACCGGACGCAAAGACCTAAATGGCGTATTTGCATTAAGGTGAAATTGTTCAATGAGCTGCGCTGCCATTGCATTCAAAATTAAAAAAATTATATATCAACTTTAAGAAAAATTAAAAAAAAAAGACAGCTGATACAGAAACGTTATTACTGTATCCACGTCTACTGGAATGAAAGATAATACAGTAATGGGGATAACTCATAAAGGGGAATGTAAACTACTTTTAACGATACCATCTATTTTTATCACTGTCATAATATTAAAAACAAAACAAAGAAATAGCTAAAACCCTTCTTTATCATCTTTATAAATAGTTTTGTAGCAATGAAAAGGAGAAGACGAGATTGAGGTTTTGTTGCATTTCCATCAGCGTAATCAATTTGAGCTGCAGTCGGGCTCTTAGATATGTAGCTCGGTCATTTCTATCACAGCGCGCCAGCTACATTTTTTTTATAGAATAAGCGTGACAAACGAGCATACAGTTCACCTGATAGTAAGTGGACCATAGAATACTATAATACATACATAATAGAATGGGGGAGTGGGCGGAGCCCGTGTAGCCACTTACATGTCACTAAACACGTCAATTCACACGTATAAATGTCAACACAATCAATCGTTTCCAATTTTCGTGTCAAGCGTCGCTGTATGCAAATTATTTAAAAAAAATGGCAAATTGTGCAATAATTACGTGTCTAAAGAACAACGGGAAATGGAATTTAAAAAAAGAAGACAAATTCTGTAACCAGTAAGTCAAAACTATTTATATTTTGTGAATATTAGAAACAAATACATATAAAGAAACATTAATGTGTCAAAAACATTGATCAAAAGTCTAAAATGTGTTTGTATTAGTAATAACTGATAATGCGACGTAATTGGTTGTATGTGTGTTCCCGGCGACGCCAATCCTCCTACAAAGTAAGGTTGACAGCCATTCTATTGTGTATTATAGTATTGTATGAAGTGGACGCTAAGGTCCATAGAAATCTACATCTAACATCGATTGGTCGATTAAAAATCAAAACGCAAAATGCAAATGCGTTGTCACCACTGAGGACTAAGGTGGTATGCCTCGTTTCCAGGAATAATGGTGTCCGATTCTCTACACTCACCACGCATAACTCGATAGCATTAAGTTACTATTTTAACATTGGCATTCTGTGAGAGCGTAGTCCTTCTCGGTCAAGCGGACCCATTCGTGCCATGACAATAATATACATGCCGCGTGGCTCTGACACATCAAATTTTAAAACCATGTCTTTAAATTTCTTTAGCCTATGATCTATCATTTAAAGAATTAAAAAGCATGCGTTGTCATCTGCTTGTTGTTACCATTAATAGAGGTCACGGTTCTCATCACTGGCATCTATTTTTTGTATAGGAAAGAAGGCAAACGAGCGTACGGTTCACCTGATGGTAAGTAACTGCCTTTTGGAGAACAAGGAGGTGATGGCTATAAGCCTGTAGTTAGACGGATCTGAGCGGTCGCCTTTTTTAAGGATCGGGTGGACGAAAGACGTTTCCCACATTTCGGAATTACGTCTAGGGAGTAGCAGTACCGGAAAAGATGCGTTAAAACCGTTGCCAACTCTGGAGCATACGTCCTCAGCACAATTGGGGATTTCCGTCAGGCCCAATCAACTTGTGGATGTCCATGGAGAGGAGTGCTTTGCGAACCGAGCGCTGTGTGAACCGCACATCCGGCATGGAGCACTCATACCGCGGGATGATCGGCGGTGTGCTCTACCCGTCATCGAGAGTCGAGTTGGACGCAAAGAAAGAGCCTAGCAGATCGGCTTTCTCCTTTGCGGCATGGACCAGTGGGTCGTCCTCCCCGTGCAGAGATGGAAGAAATGGCTGACAGAAGTTCCCTTGGCAACAGACCAGAATACACGGGTTCCTGAAGGAAGGCGAACTAGTTTCTCGCCAATTCGGCTTTTTAAAACTGTAGCATTATGATTACGATGATTATTTATGCTAGTACTTAAAGTAATGTTTGTATTTGCAGACAAATAAGGTCCCAGTGCAATGCATTTAAGCGTGGATTGACCTCTGTGGTGAACGCCGAATGGCTGCGCATGTTCTCGTGCAGAGAATTACAGTTGCTAATATCGGGTGCCGAGGTTCCCATCGATTTAGAGGACTTAAAGCGGAATACGCATTATGCAGGTAAATTATACAATCAATTACTTTTTTATTTAATCTACTCAAGTCCTTCCCATTTGGAGGTACCGAATGGGGAGGGTTTGACATAAACGCCACACTTAGTGACAGTAGTACTACTTCTTCGTCTTGCACCTAAACGAATTGCAGTATCTTGACGTTCGTCTCATAATGGATATAAAATTAATTTATCTAGGCTGCTGACCTCCCTCATGTGGAAGAATTTTGAGTCTTACGAGATAGACATAAAAGGTCTGTGATAGTTTTGTCGTTGATAAGTTGTAAGAATACATAGGACCAATTTGTGATCCTTGAGTAAACCCAAATATCACAATCTACATTTTTAAGTCATATTTTTATTATAATTATTATCTGAAGTCTGTTACCGTAAAAACTTTAAAACTCTTATAAGAGAAATGTAATAATGCTGGTTGCTTAGAGATTTTGCCAGTAATATAGGATAACAGACTTTGTCGAAAGCATATGAAAAATTTGTATAAGGTGACCCTTTCACATGATAACGCATGACATGAATAACACAAAGTTCGTTTCTATAGAATATCTACAACTTAAACGTAATTTGCAGTGTAAAGTCGTTGGAATAATTATTTAGATAAACAAAGTAAAATAGTCAAACAATTAGTGTTTGACTGCTTGATCATATACATTGCAGCTTGTGGAAAGTCCGCTGCTGAACATGGGCCTCCCCCACTGATTGCCTTTTTGGATGAGTTTTCGCCATAATTGCCACATTAGACAAGCACGTTTCAAACTGTCCATTAACAGATTGAACAGCCATGGAGAAACCACACAGTCTTGTCCGACATTTGTCAGCGTCAAACCGGTCTATGTAGGCCCTGTTCATCCTGACACAAGCTCTAAAGTCCTTATGGAGAGATTTTAATGCCTGTTTCGGCCTAGCGTTCAACTCAAACGAGACTACAATTTGCAATAAAGCGTTCGTCCGTAGTGTCATAGGCCTTTTATAATTCTATAAATGTACATAAACTTTCTGACCAAAATTTGCAAAAGGGTCTTCCGGTATCGATTTAGTTCCCAGCATAAATTAAAGAAACTGTACGCCAGACTTGCCACCACTCCCTATCTAGCACTCAGCATTTATTATGATATTGTATCATACCCGTTGCCTTGCTTTCATGCTTTTGATTGCTTTTATTATTTCATCGATTCTTATCTTGCTAACTTCTTCCTTTTCTTTCGGTGTTTATGGTTCATTTACTTTAGATGCCACGGGATGATTTGGGGTAGAGATGTTTTGATACTACCACTTTTATATTTTAGAGAAATATTTCTTATTTTCTTCCACTTGTCTGTTGTGAATAAAATTAAGAGGGGAATAAAATTAGAATGAGTAAGTCTGCAGTTTGCGATCATATTCTAGATGGCCCCAACCATTACATCAGATTTGATAGACCACAAATCCTCGCGAAAGAACATCGATTCCTACCAAGAATGATACGTGAGGCTATTGAAATTAAAAAACATCCTAATTTCAATAGAGAAGGAGGCTGGGTACTACCACCTGCTTGGGATCCTATAATTAATAAAATTAAAACTAAACCCAAGCATACCACTGCAAGACTTCAAAATACAGTTAGTTCATTCTGCGTAGATCGGACCAAAGACAATAATTAAAAAGCTGAAGGTACTCCGGGTTAACTTTGACATCGGGACGTCAGTCACCTCAGTCCCCCGTGACCATGGGTTGCTGGAAAGCACCCGAAACGTCGGGTATTAAAATTAATATAAATAAAACGCGATAAAATCCGTAAAAGTAGTTTTAATCAATGTATAGTGTTCGCGTAAATATAAGAAATCATTATAGAATGAGTAAATTTGTAATTATAAATGAAATGTTTTTTTAAAGCTTTCACTGTATCTAAACAATTATTTGTGGCCAGTATATATAAATACTTGTTACGTTCGTACTTGGTGGTTCGTCCGGTTCGTAGTGCCGCAGTCTAGAACTTAGCCACTACATCTCCAAGCCGTTGCTAAATTACATTAATTTATTTTCTTAGACAGTTTTTAGTATTTGTTGTATTTGTGTTTATTTTATTACGTACCGCCCTCATACCCGCCCTCTTACTTATCTCAGCTGCAAAGCACTATTGTTGTTCACTGTTTTGTTGTGTGTGTTCGGTTTAAATAGCAAAAAAATCATTATAATTACAAATAATGAGGTGAACATATTATTCCTGTGGCAATTAAAGGCTAAGAGATCATCAAAGACCAGAAACCGAATGTTTTTTTTAATTGCTTAGAATGCTTATCTTATTTCAAAGGTGGTTTCTCGCCAACGCATCCGACGGTACAGTGTTTCTGGAAAGTGGTCGAAAATTTTACGGACGATCAGAGGCGGCAGCTCTTGAAGTTCGTCACGAGTTGCTCCAGACCGCCCCTGTTGGGTTTTAAGGTAATTTTAAATTTGTATGTATATTAATGAGTAAAAAATGATTAATATGTTAGTCTTTAAAATCTCAAAAGTAGAAATCACTTAAGCGAAAGATAGCAGCAAAGATAGCGCAAAATCTAGCCTTACAAATATATATATTATTTATAATTTATCAATATTTGTACATTGCGTTCTTGCGCGTCTCTATGGCACTGTACGCAGCGCACACGCCTTGCATTTGATGTGTCGCAGCTCGCATAGTTGTGTAAATGAAGTTTAAGAAAAAGAACAACACTAAATAGGAAGTTGAAGAGAAATATTAGGAGTCTGAATTAAAAGGAAGATAGTGAAAACAGGCTGAATACCATACCTATCCACCGAGAAACTCATTTCTCATTGTCCTTTTTGGAGTTACGACCTGCAGCTGAAAGGAATGATGTATACATTGTTAAACAAAAAGTAATAAAAAGTATAATGTACAACTATTAGTCCTATAATTTTTATTCAGATTCTTATTATATTTTATTATTGTAGGACCTTATCCCGTCTTTCTGCATCCAATCTGCGGGCTCCACGGATCGGCTGCCCACTTCCTCCACTTGCATGAACCTACTGAAGTTGCCAGAGTTCCCCTCTGAAGAAGTCCTCGCAGAAAAGTTGCTCTATGCGATACAGGCCGGTGCCGGATTTGAACTTAGTTAATTTGTGTAAGTATAATATAATATATTTATATGTTTCGCTCTGTATGAGCGGCGTAAATCCACTACGTTATGGTTTTAGAGGTGACAGAGTGAAACTGTGTTTCAGTAACGGTTGAGCATCTTCAAATAACAATAATAACAACAAAAAAAACTGCAGTTGTAAAGCTACTTGCCGAGCGAAGCAATCTATAGCTGGGGCCTATGTACTGTAGTGGATTATTGATATGCTGTATTTAATGATAAATTAACCCCTCGTCTGTCCAAACGCCATATTCTGGCGTCTCAAATAATATGCGCATCTGACAAACGCCATAATATGGCGTCGAGTGATAGCATACTATTTGTATCATAATATATATGATATATATAACATACATATATATAACATAACAGATATATATGTATGTTATATACAACATATATATCTGTTATGCATAATCTGATAGCTTATTTAATATCGTTTCCATTGATATATGATTTTAATATTGTTACTTATATATATATATATATATATATATATATATATATATATATATATATATATATATATATATATATTCAAGTGGTCAAGGAATAATATGATGTTAATTTTAAGTGGTGCAATGTACACTTTATACCATAATATTTAATGACAATATTTTGTTTCCAGGTACATGGAAAGTGGAAAATAGATTCCCTTTATGTATTTATCTTTCTACTTACAAACGAATATATTATTTTTCCACGACTAATGTGTACTGAATGTAAATCTTATTGTGATAATGCTGTCTTTTAGAGACGCATTTTGTTGTGTAAATAAATGTTACCCCGAATTACTGTTTGCTTTTATTTATAAAGCGAGGATATGAAGAGGCGATTTTCTATTTGACATATATATCATTAAGAAGGCAGCGAAAGACACAATAATAGAGGAAAAAGTTTTGATTGTTGTAGATAAAGAAGTAATTAAGTAGAATATGATGTTTGTTGTACAGATATTTTATGTATGTGTGCTCAAAAATCGGCAATTTTATAGCCAAAATACTAAAATGGAAAAATCATATTATTTCTATGTCAGAAAAAAGTTGAATACCCTAATTTTTTTCTGGTAGAGTAAAACTATCACTTGTGTCAAATTTTAGAGGTATTTATTAATAAAGTTGTTAAGCTCCGATTGTGTTATTTTCATTGCTTATTTTTGTTTATATATTCATTTCGCGATACTAACATTATGTACCATCATCATCATTACAGCCATTCACAAGTCCACTGCTGAACATAGGCCTCCCCCAAGGTATGCCACAAAGCACGGTCCTGAGCCACCTGCATCCATCGACTTCCTGCATGTCTTACTAGGTCGTCACTCCGTCTAGTGGGCGGTCGCCCTACACTTCGTCTACCGGTACGAGGCTGCCACTCGAGAACCTTTTTCCCCAACGGTTGTCGGTTCTTATTATGTACCATAACCCGGCTATAATTTTGTTTTTTGATTTAATTTTTAACAGTTAAGTTTTTAGAAATTTAGGGATTACGTACATATTATGAGCAATCAAAATAATATCCGTCCGATCTAGACATGACATCATTCCGTGAACGAAAAAAATTCCTATTACATATTCATTTGTTTTGGTCATAGCGTGCAAACTATATTATGAATCGATGTTTAAAGTATTTGTTATTTTAATAGCGAAGACGTTTAAATAGTGAGAGCTTTAAAGGCCGCCATTTATATATTTTATAAGATAGAACAATACATACATTTGCACTCTACTATATGACTGACCGCATCCAGCAAAGAGAGAGAGGAGTCCCGAACCTTCGACGAACGAGTTCTTTCTAATTGGTCCGTTTCACTGGCGCTGCGAACACATGTTACGTTCCTTTGCATTTTCTATCGCATTTACGAAGATGGATGAAAGCTCAGAGGACAGGTGCTCGAAGGTGGGTTTTGGCGGCTGGAGTTAGGATTAATTCCAGCCGCCGAATCCCACCATCGCACTTCGCAACAGGTTTACCGATAATTATCCATACCATTTGATAGCTTGGCGGTTTACACTGTTCAATTCGCCAGGTTTTCTTCCTCGCACGACTTTTTTCCGATAAAAGTTCGAGACCTTCTTCAATAAAAGATACTACATTTTTTCTAAAAGGCCGGCCACGAACCTACAATGCCCCTGTTGTTGCATTGTCCATGGCTGGCGATAGTCACTTAACATAACAAATATAGGATATAATGTATACACCGATGTCTAGATTTAAGTATTTGATCCAAAAACTTTTGGAAATATGCAATAAAATTAGTAGATTTATTATTATTATCAATATTATGTAGACTAAGCATTAAATCCACAAACTGTAGCTATAGCAAATCTGTTTATTTATGTATACTTATTAGCATATTATTATTATTATTATCTGTTTTCTTATCTTTAAAAAAAATCACTTCGCTTTTTATGTAAGTTGTGGTTACCTGTAAGAGTAGATGAACACGTAGCATATGGTCGCCATGTTGAATTATATTTTTGTTAGTACACAATACTATCATCTGTTGTTGATCCAAATAAAGAGAAAAAAAAACATCGTCAGGTGAGCCGCATGCTCGTTTGCTCCCTCTCCTATAAATAAAAAGTCAAATGTAGGCCAGGAGGATTTGAAGTTTTTGGTTTATAAGCCTATTATATCTGTTTCTTTCTCATAGTAGTTGGTTGCGCCAACGTACACCCTTGCATTTTCGTATTTGTTGATGTATTTTCTTAGTTGAGTTGGCCGGCATAACCTCCTCACTTCCGTTCCTTCCCCGCACGGGCCTGCCTAATGGGGGGTGGGGGGAGATAGATACAGATGGATGCCCTCCAATGGGAGGCGTGCTCCGCCGCGTGGCTGGGGGAGATGTTTGAAGCTGTAAAAAGACGTTCGCCGCCACCCTTCGATCCCAGTGCAGTACAATTTGCGTCGCAAACAAGGCCGTAGGAAGAGCTATCCTATTTATGAGCTGTTTTATTTTATTTGTTGTGCCTTTATCCTCAGCAGCTCATCTTTCGTCGTGCCGGCCAATGCATTAAATTAATGCCATAGCAAGTATATTGTCCAAAGCCTGCCACGTGCCAGGTTCGCCATTTTGTTTTGGTTCCTTTTGAACCACGCTAATACAGTCCACTTGATAGTTCGCCCCGCAATACTTTTTGTCATATTCGCGCACCCAGTAGTGATACTATATATCATTGGCTCACATCAGATGCGTCAAAGCCACATAATATTGCTGATACTTGATTTTTTCTGTTGGGCCCATGGGGAAGTTCAAGGTCGCTCGCCGAGCTACAGAGAGAGCTATGCTACGAGTTTCTCTACGTGATAAACTCCGTTATGAGGATATCCGTAGCAGAACCAGAGTAACTAACATAACGAAACGAACCTGTATGCTGAAGGGCAAAGGGCGGGACATCTAGCCCGAAGAATCGACAACCGATGGTGAAAAAAGGTTCACAGGTCGTTTACCGGTAGGCAAAGTGCAGATCGGTCGCCATTAGATAAAGTGATGGCCCTGGTGATGGAAAATGATGGTGATGGGTGAGAGGTGCAGGAAATCAATGGATGCAGGTGGCTTAGGACCGTACCCTGTAGTGTTCCTTGGGGACCTATGTTCATCAGTGGACTTACTGTAATGATGATGAGGATTGAATATTTTTTATGCAAGTGCGTGTAACAAACAAGCACACAGCCAAGTCGAAACTACATACATCTCGGGGTAAGAAAAAATATAAATTTGCGTGGTTGCTTTGAATTTAATTTGAATGCCTTGTTTTACTAATGAAATGTCTTTTCCTCGCACACGCCATACAAAACACAGCAGAATTATGCTTCTAGTTTAAGGTAGCAAGTCGTCGTTGTTGCAGGATACTGATAAATTATGGTACTCAAGTCTGCCGATATTCTTCTTTTGTTAGAGCAGCTTGTTTATATATTATATATTTTTTCATCTTTAATAAACCTCGCGTAAGACAGCAAAAATCTTTCATTAGTTGGTAAAGTGGATTCATCCAACTAAATTGAATATTGACTAGTCTTCAGATAATTGCACATTGACTCTTAAATGTTTTCAGTCATTTCATCAATTCGTCTTTACACAGAATTATTGCTCAAAGGAATTTGACCACGGTAGTTATAACTTCTTTTATTGCCAGCAAAATTAACGTTTCTCCGATGGTGTGTGGTTTATCTGCTTGAGCAATTAATAAAGAGATATTGTATGAAGCTCGAAGTGCGTCATCGTCTTGCTTAGCAGCCACCGAAAAAACTTGATTCACTTGGCTCAGCATTATGCTTCTTTTCCAGGTCTTGAAAATATGCTACATTTTTGTCCTTCTTATCCGGATGCATTTTATTCAAATGATCTTGAAGTCTTGAAGGCTTCATCGCTTCGTTTGAAAGTGTTTTCGAACAAAGAAAGCACAAGGGCAAAGATGGATTTGTCGAATTATCTATGAATCGATATTTAATATGTTCTGCAGGATATTGCCGTCTCTGCTTTTTTTGCTTCCGACATGGCTTTGTTTTTACATACTTGTTTAAAAAATGCGCGCGAAACAACTAATGAAAATGTAAAAAAATATTACGAACTTTTGTATAGGATTTAAATACAGCACGCACCTACAGGAAACCACAAACTCGTTTATCTCTTTCAACGTTCAATCGTACTTATCAAGTTAAGACAAGTATCGATGAACCAGCCGATTTCTATCGGATTGCACCGATAGCGTTATTTAACAAAACCGTAAGGCGTACGGGCTATCCTACCAAATCTATGTTAAGTATTTCTAGTTTATATACCATCATACGGGGTAGAAATATAAACTAATTACTTATTTGATATTGAGTAGTAGGTAGGTTATAATTTTATTAAATTTATAAAGTAACTAAATGAATTTACAAATCAAACATCGCCCCCATAAACCACGCCAACGCCCCCATTTATTTCAGGGCCCCTTAACGCCCCCCTCTAGGTCTCCAACGCCCACAAGGGGG